GCATATGAGAGAAATGTTGTGTATGAAAAACGTTGAAAAAAACAAACTGGTCAGATGGAAAACGCCTATCAAAGGAAGGGTTTATCCGGAGACAAAACAAAGTAAAATGCCAGCCAGAACAGAACTATAAAGAGTTTGGTGGTGAAAAATGATGCTACGAGTCAGAACCGACCGAGCGCTCCAAGTTGAAAAAGGAGGTGTTATAATGTCGATGTCGTATGTCCCCCTTGCGATCCTTACGGTCTCTTTGGTCTTTAACAAGACAAAGAGGGTTATCTGAAAAGATAAGACAAACATTACTAGAAAAACATATTCGAAGGCCCACAAAGCTAGAGAAAAGCAAACAAAACAAGCATAGCCTTCGATGATTCATAATATATCAGTTCCACTAGGGGATTTCCTAGCAACGCTCTCATTGCTCCACATTCTCAATTGTAGAATTGCCTTATCAGTTTTCAGCAGATCTCATATTGGCCTATTTCGTCCGCCTATTCAGACCAAAAACCAGTCGTATATACTCGTATACATATATATATGATTTATGATATCAACAAAGAAAGAAAATAATGGGAAATTGTTATTATTCACAATTTTAGCCGTTGCGAATCGTGTGAATTGCCGTCTTCTACATGAACATAAACAATAATTGTAGCACCAGCCAGCATAGTTATATCTTGTACATAGATTTATATATATATTTATATATAGAAAATTAACCCAGTTCGCACGTCTATGCCGAAACAAACAAAAGTTTCCGAGGCAAACAAGTCGAGTTGAGTCGCTGGCAACAAAAGACAAGAAAACGACGAAAGCAGACTCACCAGAAATCCACAAGGCAACTTGCACCTCAAAACGCAAAAAAAAGAAAAAATAAAAAGTGGGTGGCAAAAGGGGAAAGGTGAGAGGGCGGGGAATCACCCGACTGATAATCATGTCTAAGGCTAATTGCAGGCGGTCTTGGCAAAATGTGCAAATATTATTTCAAGACGGTTACAAATGCCGAGCCGCACTCGTTCGCACTTAAGTCTTTGCTCATATTCACATTCAGATTCTCATTCCCATTCACTTTCCCCTATTTTTTTTAAGTGCGGGGACGACACCTCGCCTGATAAGCTGAGAACGTAATTATTAGATGACATGCAGCATAGGTGGTGGCACACTGAAAAATATTCCTTATAACCATATGGATAACATTTATCGGGGAGCTTTTAAGAAAGAAATTCGCACAAAAACTATTTGTTCGTAATTTTGCATCATAAATTAATATTGACTTTAAAGAGTATTTAAAATTACTTACAAAGTTTACATCTAATTACTTTGTCTTGCAAACTACTATTTAATTGGAGCAAAAGAAATACAATAAATGAGAACACATCTCGTAATTATTTTAAAGGTATAATAAAAAAGTAGGAAAATTCTTAAGAACTCAAAATCGAACTTTCTCCAACTTATCTTTAGACTGTAGTTCTAAGTTCATAAAATCCTACATTTCCCCCTGTGTACTGCTCATATTCATAATTCCCTCTTGGCTGTTCGAGTCTTGTCTTGAATTTGGGTCAAACATGCATACTCATTGGCCTCCCCTGCCATCTCCTTATCACAAATGATCCCCCCCGTTGACCACCTGTCGCCCCCTGTCATCCATCTTGGTTGCCTGGCAAAAGCAAAAAACTGGAAAATCTAAAATTGTATAACCTGCTCCCAGCCAGCCATCTAGCCATCTAGCCATCTAGCCAGCCATCCAGCCGGCCAATGTGGTTTTAGTTTCCTTCAACCCACTGGCCTGTGGGCCAGGTCTCGATGTTGGGAGTAGGAGTTGTAGCCGGAGTTTGGTACCGTGTATCTCAGTATCTGCGGCCATAAATTTTAGCCACTTTGATCTCGCCACATCGAATGTAAAGTGCTTAATGGGCCCGAAACAGTTGACCAGACTCGAACAAACAAAAATAGGAGAACGAGAAGCAAAAACCGAACCTTTTGTGTGTGGCACAAAATTGCATTGTAATTTACAAAAATATTTCCAGTTCTCATTGTCTCTCTGCTTGACTTTTGTTTTTTATTTATTTATTTATTTCTTCTTGTTTTTTTTTTTGTTGGTGAGCTGTTCCCCAGAGATTTTAATCGTTGTCGCCAGCGTCGCCTTGTCAACGTTGCTCAGGCCCGTTCCCCTCCAATCCCCTCCCTAGAAAAAAGAGTTCCGACCGTTTTATGCTGCTTTACATTGGCGTCGCATTTTTTGCCTCTGTTGCTGTTGCTGCTGGGATGTTGCTGCGGTGCTGCAATGTTGCCGCTGTGCTCTTGCTGCTGCTGCTGCCAACATTGATCACGACTGACCAGATAGCCGGGAGAAGTGGCCAACTCGAGAGCTACTTGTATGCCGGCTGCCGATTGTCGTTTGCCTATATATATATATATCTCTTTCTCTATATATATGTACGTATTTATACACGGCATTCTTTCTATGGAAACAATTGCATAAAATGTGAATCCTGATAGCGACAGAAAAAAGGCAAAGCCAAAGCCAAAGCCAGCGACTACGACTAGGAAATGGTCAAGTCAAGTGGGTAGACCACTGAAAACAGTAGGAGATCGCAGACCTGGAGACTGTTGAAGACATCTGGCAGGGAATAAAGGAGGATGGAGGGCAGATGGCCAGACAAGGAGTTTATGATTCCCCCAGATGGTTAGGAGACAATGGGTAGTCATAATGGAGAATTGCAAGAGGCCTGCACATAAATATAACAAACTGAAAATTGCAAACTTGCAGGCCAAAATTGAATTCCCCTTGAGAAAATCATTAGCTTTTAGAACTTTTGAAAGGCAGATATATATTTTAGTTAGTAAAATGCATGAAAAACGGAAAATTGGTAGATGTAGAAACAAAGCCAATTTCATTTTTAAGATTGCATGTTAATTTTCTTTTACTTATTCCCATGCTTGTCACATTCCCTTTATAGCTTGACCTTTATTTAATTTTTTTTACAAAAACAAGCTGAAGTACTTTGTACTTTGCACTTGAGTGGACACTCGCCAATTGCTGCTGCGCCCCAAAGTGCATTCAAATATTCACACCTCAGCAGACAGTCCACCCACCCCACCTTCGATTAATGTCGCTTGAGTCAGCAGCTCTTGTTTATAAAATGAAAATCCCCCAAAAAAACAAAAAAAAAACAGCAAGAAAGGAAAATACAGAAGTAGCCGATGAGAACCAACAGCCAGTACAGTAACTCCTCGAGCATGGAGGTCAGGCGAAAGGTTAAACTGCTGACTAGATTGACAATGTGATGGTAGGAGAAGGCGTGGGGACCCTTTGTTGGCCGAAAACCGAATTGGAACTTTGGCAACTGGCTTATAATTGCCGCATTGCATGTCCGTGGTTTCAACTTTGATATTAGCCCGAGTTCGGGGAGTAGTTTCTTTTTTTGTTTTTGGTGAGAATTGGCGGATTGGGAACAGGCGCACCCTCAACAAAGACAGTCTCATTTATTTAATACTGGATGTATGCAAAGTGGGGAAAACAGAGAAATAGCCACGATGGCGGTTCGCCTTTGGCATATTACACTTTTGCCTGGCTTTAGTTTTCCATCCACAATGCACATTCCGAATCGAAAGATATATATACATTGTTCCCAGTTCTGTTCTCTTTGCTAATTGCATGGGAAAATTCACAAGACAGGGGACTCGATGTGAAGATGGTTCCTGCTTAGGAGTCGCCTGATATTTGCCTATATAGGCTGTAATTATGGTCTTAATTGCGGGGCATGGTGATTAGTAGATGAGGTCTTCTTTGAGGCTAATGTGGCTGTCTTCAATTAATTTTTATAGAACTTAGAGAGAAACAGATTTAAAGATGTAAAATGCAATTTCTTTCTGGGCGTATAAAAACTTTCATTAAGTGAAGTCAATTTAACTTTATACATACAGTTTTTTTTTGTAGAAATAAATGTATTTTCTCTACTTCCAAACCTTCTTTTTCTTCACCACTATATAGTGTATTACCATCTCCCACTTGGGCTCACTTGACTTCCACCTCTTCCATAATTTTCCAATTAATTATGTCTCTCAACCTTCAACGCCTGCAACTGCAACAGCAGCAGCAGCAACAGCAGCAGCTACAGCAGTGCAACAGCCACTGCAGCTGCAATTCTTCGGCAAATGATGTAAGGGTCCTACACCATTGGAGGGGCAGAAAAAAAAAAACGCTGGAAGCATTTAACTGACATTTGTTGTCAACCTCTTCAGTGGTGCAAAAGCCTCCGGTGGAAATGCCACTCGGCAGTGCATCCATTGCAACCACTGCACAGCTGTCACAATGTTTTATCATTTAATTTCCACGATAAAAACAAATCCATGTGAACGTGGTAGGGAAAATGTGCCATAATGTGTGCACAAAAGTGTGTGAGTGGGAGGCAGCCCACGCTTGGATTTGGATTCAGATCGAGATCGAGATGGAGCTGGAGCTGGAACTGGAGACGGTGCTGAAGACGGGTTCACTGGCTGGGCTAAAAATAACGCAACCAAATTATTATTTAACGACTCCGGCTTCTTCGGATTCGATGTTTTAACACCTTGTATCTTTTTTCGGCAAGTGTTTTCGCCAACGCCAAAGTGAAAGTGAAACAACAGCTGACACTGCACTTGGCTGTTTGAAGTTGTCGGTGCTTGTTGTTGCACCTGAACTCTACAACTTCCCAAACACCAATTACAAATGTATATATATATGTTTTTGTTTTTTCTACGAAGCTCCGTCAACTTCAAACTCCAATTAGAGTGTCAGTTTAATGAACTGCCTGCCTGAACAAGGCATACGGAATCCCCGTCTCGGCGATTTCAGGGCTTCAGGGGGTTAACTGCATTACACGCTGCACATTTTTTTTATGGCTCGTCGGCCTTAACCTTTGGCCTCCACTTCAATCGCATTTTGCTGTCAGCATTCCATGCCATTTGCTTTTTATTACCTAGTAATTATTATATTTAATATTTTTTCGTATTTTTTGCAGATTATCAGCGAACTGGCGGAAATCGTCTATACCGCATTGGATTACAATTTGCCGGAGGACGAGGAGTGCCAAATGTCACAGGAGCTGGAGAATCTATTTAACTTTATGACGGCCGATGGTAGGTCTAAAACTTAAATTAATAAGAATATATAAATATCACATAAAATGCTAAAGCATGCTTCTGGGTTTGTGGTTATCGTGTTTTAAAACCACGAATTCATTATAATTGTTATTCTTATCTTTAAGACAGCGACAAAAATACTTAAGAATGATTCGTTAATGAATGAATTAAAATCATCTAGTATAATAATAACTTTAATTTCTTCAAATGATGAAATAGTCTTGTAGAGCTTTTATGATTCAGATGCAAAAAATGTACGTAGCTTAGAACAGCAATTGAATCTCTTAGTAAGTCCCCCTTTCAGAGCTTTGTATATATCATTCTATTGGGGACTTACTTAACCGGAAAAACCCTTTTTATCAGCAAACCAAAAACGAAAACAAGATGAAGGTTAAGCCTGACCTCGTGCCATGAATCACTTAGACTTGATGATAAATTAAACGAAAATACAACAATTGTAATAAATATAAAATTCGAATTTCTTAAAGTTGATTGGATCTCATTCATTGCAGAGACAGACGATGATTGCATTGACGAGGGCATCGACGAGGGCGACAAGCGCTGGGACGACGACTCCGAGGAGGAGCGCAACGATACCAAAGAACTAGAGCACATAATCGAGGTGGGTTTCCAATTCGAACCGATCGTATCTGACATTTGGCAATCGAGTCGTGTCATGATGTGCCAAAAGCAAAGGCAACCAAAAACTATATAAACCAATGCAAATTCGAACTCCCATCGAAGTGTGAGTCAGAGTTTTTCTTTATTTTATTTCGGGGGTGCTCCAAGATCTGACCTTTTGACCAGGCTTCAGTGCGCTCCATTTGCCAGCTCTTTTGACATATAAAAGTATATAGAGCCAATGCATCGATATTTATCGGTGGGAAAACTTGTTTGGCTCACATTACAGTTAACCAAAGCGGGCATACACTAGAAGAAAATCCATTAGCCTTAAGTGCTAGCCAATCCAAACCGAATGTATGCTTTCCTGTAGGTTCTATCTTCTTCTTTCCTCTCCTTTTTATTTTCCATTTTTGACTAAATCTAAGTTCAAGCTGTTAAAAACTTTCTTAAATATTCTTTCTCTCTGTGCAGAAATCAAAGTATCTTGCAGATACTTGTTGTGCGCGTATCTGTATCGCGGCTAACCGCAAACAAGCCAGATTCAGTCCGGGTTCTAGTCAGATACTTAGATTACGATGCCCGGTCGACCGACTGGAAAACAATTTTCAATTGCGGCTCGATTGCAGCGATATTAAATAACCGAAATAACCATAAAACCAAACGCTTTCGTAATCGTAGGAAATCAGCCGCAGATCTGTAAATCAGAAATTCGAATCTGAAACCGCCTTCCCGGCCGCACTTGATTGCGCATCGGGAATTTTTCCGCATTTTCCGGCAGCCAGTGCATCATCTGCCATCCCATTCGAACCACAGTAGTAGATCCATTGGGGATCCACTGGAGGATCCCCGATTTGGTAATGGGGCGTGTGATAAACCTCACACCGTTGCTGATTGAGCCAAAGTCGTCTTCGGTTCTGTTTGAGTGCCCCTCTGAGAAGGAGGCGGGGTCGGTTGGGTGGTACTTCTCTAATGAGCCAATTTATAGAATTGACACATTGCTGTCAGGCAACAGTGAACAGAGTGTGGACCCCTTGACTTTTTTCCACCTGCCTGAGTTTTCTAGCACACCAATGAAAAGTGGAAAAGTATCTGCAACTAATATGGATAAATTAGCATTTTTCCAATGTCCGTTTTTCTTCTACGGTTAGATAAGATTTGGTTTGGCGGAATAAATTGAGTTGGTCTATATACGAGATATGATTATCGTAATAAGAAGTGAAAGGAAATTGCCGAAGGCGTAAAACGTAATTAGCTTTTTGGTACGTAGAATTTATGTATGCGGGATATCCGCAGATAATGGTAATCTTTTTTGGTTATTCCTAGAATTTTAGCAGTCATAAAAGCCTTAGTTTGGCAAAGAGTTATTTAGCTCTGACCGCAGCAAAGATATCAAGATTGATATGCCGTGGTTTTCGTGTGAAACTTAAAAATATAGGTTATTTCGCACAGCCATTAGTATTAGTATGTATATGGAAATAAAGAATAAATAGCAATGGTGTGTTATTTTTGCATTGGTTTGTTTTTACGTCATGAAATTTAAATAGAATTTATTAAATATATATAATTACTAACCATTTATGCCTTTATAGACCTGCAGAAATCACATAAAGACGACCCTGCCTGAGAATCACTATAGAGCTGTTTGCAGAGCCCTCGTAACCGAGACCATAGAACTCCGAGTTTTTCTGCAACAGGTCCTTAACAACGGTAAGTATTCAATTAGACTTTTAAAAAGACTACTTATTAAATAACAATCTCAAATAGCAGGTGCCGAGAAGCTGATCAAGGCTTCGGAATCTTCAGCCACCACGCAACAAGAACTGGCGAAGCTGGGCTTCAACGACTGGGTAAGATTCTTCAAGAGTCCCCCGTCACACGTCACACGTCACACGAATACCACAAGATACTAGTAGTTATGTAATGGGTGCTCCACTACCACTAATGGCCTACAGTGGCTAACCGACTCACGATTTGTTTGGCGCACCTCTTCGAACCGAAAAACATATGCCATAAGCCATCATCACCATAATCATTATCGCCGAGATCACGAGCATTTTTGTGGCGGGGTTTTCCGCTCTGGGGTTGGTATAAAAAAGTGAACTATTTCATGCATTGCCAAATGAAATTCACTTTTAATTTCAATAATTGGCCCGCGGTGGTCGCCTCCGTTTTGGCCATCATCCTAATGAGTTCAACGCCGCTCTATATATCTACTACTATATATTTTCTGCTAGGTATTTTAATGGGCGCATATATCATCTGTATATGTATAATATGTATTGGCGTTTGTTTTGACCTTTGCTGAATATGTCGAGGCCGTCACAGGAGTTTGCCATCATCACATCGGCCCGCTATATCGCCGCCATCCAACCTCCGAAGCTCATTGAGACACACACGCAAATTGGCCAGACACGCAAACCAAAATTTGCTCTTGTTTTTGCATTTGATTTTTTCTTGACGTTTTTTTTTTTTTTTGGTGGCGTGAAAAGTTATACTACAGTTGGCTTTACCGTTCGAGGTGTGTTTGATTTTTTCAATCAGATGGAAACCTGAAACTGTCAAAGAACAGTTGGCAAAGTTTGTTCCAAAAAAAAGTTGATAAGGTGGAAAAATATGTTTTTATGGGGGCTCTTAAAAGTTATAGTGGTTTCTGATTTGCATTTTTCATACAATCTACACAGCTGGTAAACTATCAGTGCTGTCTTACAAAGTAGAATTCCAATATTTAATTTAAATAATCTTCTAATTTCATAATGTACTTTAACCAAATCCCAACTTGATTAAAAATCACATCTGCTTTATTCTTTATTCTTTCCACAATTCCTGGAATGATTTTATTTATACGAACTGCTAATTGATAAATTCAATCAATTTTTCCTTTGTTTGGCAAAGTCAACAGACTATCATAAAGCTGTTAATAACTGAAATTAACGGCAGTAAACATAAAAAATGAAAGGAGCTAATGTCCTTAAATAGTTTTATCCACTGTACATTTATTTTCTCTGTGAATGGTATATCCATAGATGGGTTTGCCTTTTCCCCGCCTCACTGCCAATCTTTGCATGTCCGAAGGAAAAAACCGTTAAAATGAGAAACCTTTGCGTGCGAAATAGACGACACATCATTATGCCATAATATTTGCTTATACTGGGGTACAGTACAAATGCAATCAGATAATGAAATAGACCATAAATATTTTTCACTTTATATATATATACGAGTATATATGTTTTACACCCGTGAATTTGCATGTGCCGAAAGGCTGGGATTAAAAAAGAGGGTGCAGCCATGGAATTGGCCAATTAATTGGCCAGACATATACCATATATCATATGAGCCAAGAAAGAAGACCTGGTAACGAGTCGAGTGTGTTTACTTTCGTTGGTATTGCAAAACTCAATTTCAGGCCATTGTAGAGGGTTGATTAAATGCCGTCTTATCATTTTCTAGTTCTTCGATAAGACTGTTCTGCCTTCGTTTGGCCCATTGTTTATAGGGAGCGTTTTTCTTTTATTTCTTGTCTTGTGTTTTGACTACTGCCAAGAGAGTTGCAAGAAGAGAAGTGTGTCTTTAGTCAGCGTTTTATCGTGTTTTCTGGGAAGACAACAGCCTTCAGAATGTCACACAGCCAACTGATTGTTAAAACACTTTTTGACTGAATTTACATTGTTTTTGTTTTGGCTATTATTATTATGCTGGAATTGCGGAAATTTAGCTGGTTCTGTTTTTTCTTTGAACATTTTCTTGATGGTTTTGAACGTGTTTTTGCTGGACGGGGGGAAAAAGGTTTTCCGAGGAAATCTTTCTTTTTTGGCAGACATCGAGTCTGAGTCTCGCTCAGCTGCCTTTCATGATGATGATGATGATTTGGTATGCTAATTTTTGTATCCAGACGATACCAATGTTGTACGCACATGGGCAAAAGTATTTCAAAAGCAACAGATACATCCCGTCTCTTGCGGAAGCTGCTGCCACTCAATGGTGGGTTGATGTTGCTGCAGTGAGTTGATGATGTTGCTGGTGATGTCTGTTGATGTTGCTGTTGCTGTTGCTGCTGTATCTAATGTTGCTGTTGTTAGCGTAATTGAAGCATGGCGCGGCATCTTAGACTCGTACATATATGTGCAACAACAAGATGGTGTCAAAACATGTGCTGCCATTGATGCCTTCATTGAAATCGGACCCTAACATACTCCACCTTCCTCGGCCGTTTTGCATGTTTAATGAGGTGTCTCAAAATGCATGGCCACCAATTGACGGTGAACAGGAAGAGAGACGATGGCAAATGGCGAATGGAAAGTGAAATTGCGGATCACTGTTACATATTAAACCCCATTGTGTGCTAAATAGTCTTCCTGCCATCGCGCAGCATTCAACACACATTACTCATACGCACTGTTAACTTGTCATGTCGATGGATTGCTGGCCCCCTCTCATCTACTCGCAGCGGGAGTCTAAATTATTGGCTAATTAAATGAAAATAATTGCAAAAGTGAAATGCGCCTCTCACTCTGTTTGTTTTTCTTCCTGCCACAAGCACGATCTGCAGCTGTGGAGGGCATTGCAAGTAGGTCCATAGCTCCATAGTTCCGTTGCATGTTCTCCGTTTGTCTGTGTTTGCGTTTGTATGTTTGCCCTGTCCCATATCTTCAACGATCCGTCCCAGATATCGATCTGGTCTGTATTGATGATTAACCACACCTTTCCCAATCCACAGGCACGCTTCTGGGTGCAGGTGATCGACGAACTGCGTCGGGGTGTGCGGCTGAAGAAGAGCAACCACGAACGCACACCCATTGAGTACGAGCTGACGCCCTACGAAATACTCATGGGCGATATTAGAGCCAAGTGAGTAATAAACTATTCGATTTTGTCATTGTATTATCTAACTGAAAATAAATAGAGCAAGTTCCGTTAAAAACTGCAACAGAGTTACCAATAAATAACTACCAGCTATCATTATTAATATAATTATTTTGTTATGGCTACAAGTCAAATTTCTTTTCATTTTGTTTGTTTTTTCTTAATGATTGTTATGGTAACAAAAGTTATGACAATAGTAGTAAACTAGTAACTAATAATTGATTTTATTCGAAATTTTTAAAAAAAGGTACTACTATTACCCTAAGTAAAGAGAATGTTAAAAGCATTTTCCTTATTGCAGCCTATTCTTTTTCACTGTCCATCAATAATTAAATATAATTCCCAATCAGAAACCGCATCTAAGCCCAAATTTCTCTTCACAGAAAGTATCAGTTGCGCAAGGTGATGGTGAATGGAGATATTCCGCCGCGCGTCAAGAAAGATGCCCACGCCATGATCTTGGAGTTCATCAGGTCACGGCCGCCGCTGAAGAAGGTGTGTAGCGCCCCCAATCCCATTGCCTCAACAAATTCCAAATCCATCCGCATCGCAAGTCCCAAAAGCAACCTCAATTCTCACTGCAATACCACTGCCCCATCATCAAAATCCCCATTTGCCGCTTTGCGGAGTGTGAAATATTGATCTTGTGGCTCTTATTCCTGACCATTTCATTTTTGCTTGTCTTGATCTCATGACCTTTGATTGTTTTTTGTACCAAAAAAAGCAAATTACTTTTCGCTCTTCGAATAAAAATTATAAGTTCACTATTTAATATTGTATCTTTGTGATTTCCGGATCCTTCAGGCCAGCGATCGCCAATTGGGGCCACCCCGCATGTGCGAACCTTCTCCGCGAGAACAGCTGATGGAGTCCATCCGGAAGGGCAAGGAGCTCAAGCAGATCACACCGCCGGAAGTACCGACATTGAGGAAGAGCAGTAAGTGTTTATAATTTAAAATTTCTTCTGAACATAAGTAGTGGATTCTGAAAGCCTCTCAACATTTAAAACAGTGATTCATAATATAAAGATTTTCCCTAAAACAAAATATCCAATTATCCCAAGGCTAAGAAAAAACCATTTAATAACCGCCACTCTCACTGACCTTTCCTTCGAAAAGCCAAGCCCATTGTCAAGGGGAAACTTATGGCTTTTGCACAGTGCCTGCCAAAAATAGATGCCGCCTCTAATCTTTTGCGGGCGTCTATCGTTTGTGTCCTGGTCTCTCGAACGTTGTGTTGTCATCGTCGATTCCAAATTTTGAACGCCAGCCGCCCATAAATTGTTGTCGCACATGTGTGCTTATATAGATAGCCGATGTCTCCTGCCGCCGCGAAATATAGAGGAGTGTAGATTGATAGAGGGAAGGAGATGTGCTGGGGAAAACTAGTTACTAGCAAGACTTTTCACTGCACTTGTCGCTGGGGGAGCCCCATTGTCCGTCCATCCATCCGTCCTTCTCTTTCTCTGCCATGTTTGTTTGTTTGTTTGCTGTTCGGCTGATTGTATGTGTTTGCCGGGCGCAGAGCGCGCATGCCAACATAGATCAAAAACGGCAACATTTTCCAATCTCGACACTGAAGAAAAACTTTAAAGAATCAGAGATCGATTGCTGAGAAATACCAAAACATATAAGTACTTGAACTTGTTTATCAAATTTTATTTATTGTATGCATTATAATAATATGCTAAGTTATGGAAATAATATCATAGTATACCCAAATGAGGATCCTGTTTAAATTTTGTTTCTTCCTGTGCAATCCCCATCCCGAATCCCAATTTGAAATCCCCAATCCGCTTTGTTGGAAGAAGCGTGCAAAATTGTGACACACAAAGATAGCGACAACGCGACGACAACAACGACAACGACAATTGCAACAACAGAAACAATACCATCCACATTTAAGCCAAGAAAAACCAAGCACGACAACCTCACCTCAGACGAGGTTGGCTATTGTTGGTTGTTTGGGGTCTCTTTTCGGCTGGGAATCTTGTTTCCATCCTCTGTCTTTTGGGTTATTTCTAAAAGTGCAACTGCTGACCGAAAATATTTCTTATGACTCTTAGTTGGTTGATTAGTTAGGTTTATTGTAAAAGAAAAATACAACAAAGGTAAATCGATTTAGATAATCAGAGTTGCTAAATGTTATTGTATAAATCTGTAAAGAAGCATTGTTAGTAAAAGATATATATTTTTGTCTTTATTCTAAACCTTATATTTTATAATATTTAAAAATTAATAATACCCAAAACTAGTTATTCCAATAATTCTTTCAAAATGTTAATAGACTTCTTTTTACATGTTTTATTTTACATACTCAAACATTTTTGTAGCCTAACATCAAGGCGAAAATGAAAATGTAATGAGAATTTTAATGCATACTTAGAGGTGCTTGATAAAAATAGAGTTTAAAAGAAAATTGAAGTCTTCAGGTCTTTAGAAAATGAAAGGGATATTAATTTTATTTAGTCCGTGAACTCCTTAAACAGCCCTCAACTTTCTTTGTTCTTTAGTCTTGAAACTTTAATTGTTATATCCTCGAAGGACTCACTTGCTTACTCATCGTATGTGTTGTGTCCTTGTTGCCTTATGCCGACGTCATCACCTCAACGGTGACGTATAAATCACCCACGCAACAACAGCGACGATGGCTAAACAACTTTTTAGACTGTTAAATGTCAAAACAAAACATTGGCGCTCTCTCTTTGTGAGCGGCGCATGCGCAAATTGAGATTGAGTCGAAAAGTGGGGAAACTCGAGTTGACAGCTGCCACATTTCTCAGTTCCGTGTCGAGCTTCACTAGAGACGCCTCGTCGTTGTACGCTCTTTAGTTTATTGTTATTCTGTGGGCCAAGTGAAATTAAAAAAAAAACGAAAGCGTTGGCTATTAAATAAAATAAACAAATTACCTTAAAGTGCCACCAATTTAATGCATTAAGTTAAGCCGCATTTTAATGGAGCAGCAGGGTAAACCTGGTCTGAATCTTATCAACCCTCTCTGAGGAGAGAGAAAAGTGTGGCACGGAGGGGTGGCTTCCCTTTTTTCCGGATTCGGATCGATAGCCTCCATGCAACCGTGTGAGAAAACCGAAAAGTGAAAAGCCAAAGGGAAATGTGCCAGGCTTAACCCATGGATGCCCGGCCAGTGAAACGCTCCTCGGCGGCCTCCGTCTTCCGGTCCCATCACATGCCAAGAGAGTCGGATCTGGTGGACATTGGCAGCGATGCCTCATTGTACTGCGGCTCCGATGGCGAGTCTAGCCATACCCAATCCACTTCCACTCCCAATCCTAACCAGGATCTGGACCAACCACAGCCAACGCCTCGGGCGGCGCCAAGAGCCTCGGCTTTCAATAATCCGCCAACACCCAAACCACGACAGGCCATCAAGTCATCAAAAGGTAGTCATCAGCATCTCCTTAGACCTCTTCGAAAAAAAAACATACAAAAGCGTTTTCCCATTGTTGAATGTGCTCCGCTTTGACCTGGTTTCGATTTCAGGTCTGCCCCAAAGTGCAAAGTGAGTGGGGGAATGGGGAGTTGGGTAGTGAGGAGTTTGGAATGGGGTTCGTAGACTTCCCCAAGGCAGAGTTTTGTGTTCAAGGAGCTACTCCGAGGCAACTGCAGTGCTCTGGTAATTGCCGTCATATTATGACTTCGATTTTAAGCCCAAGTCATTAGAGGCATGAAGAAATAAAGCCCAAGAAAGAGTTAAGTTTTGTCGAAGGTTGAATACTCTTTGTTGCCAAATAAACATGGACAAATTTTGTGGACTTTGTTTATTTGTTAGCCCAACATCGAAGTCATTAGGGGCATGAATAGATAACACAAGAAAGATATGTACTTGTAGATGTGGCGAAGAGTTAATGCTTATTGTTGCTAACAACAACATATGTAAACGATTGGGAAAAATGTAAGGTCAGTTTTTCTTTTGAATAGAAGGGATCATTATATGTTTACTAGAAATTATGTTTACTATTTATTTTCATTTAACTAACTTTTTAAAGCCAATTTTAGATGTTTCCAATCTCTCCTATTCTTATTTTTTTTCACGACAAAAACAAAACCAAAGTAGATCAATAAAAACATTCGTGTTTGCCCCCGAGTAAAATGTTAAAGTTAGTGGATAATGTCTAGCCCCCGGGTGGTCATTGGTCATTGGTCAATGGTCAGTGGCTAGCCGGATCACGTAGCAGTTATTACAGAGCCCGTAAACCCATAAACTATCATGGACTTGCACAAAGGCAAAGCAAACTCTTCCGCTGCAGATACGAGTTTCCCAGACGTTGCACAAGCAGAGTGGGTTTCACAAGTAGAACCATTAAGTGCGTTGGGCTTAACGGCTATTATGGAGTAGCTAACTAACTAAAAAAATGAAAAAAAAAAAAACAATGACGACTTTTGACTTCGGTGGAAGTGAGAACCCAGACATGTCACCTCTAATTGCGCAATGAGCGGGCAAAAAAGGGTCGGAAAATCCAGTTTCATTATGAGTTATCCAGAGATTGCCTGCTCCATTGCCCAATGATATTCATTAGATAATCCAATCAAGCGCATTGTTCCCACCACTTTCGGCCTGGGAAATCGAGGACTTATTGTTACAACGATCTGCTTTTTATTTCTTTCAGTGCTTCCAAGTGCAAACTCCACGCTGTCACGATCCAGACAGCGGCTCATCAAAGTGGATTTCTCCAAGTTTCAGGTGAGTTTCCTGGAATTTCATAAGATCTGTAAAAAATACAAAATATTTTGATATTTCCAGGACGATGATCTCTTCTATGATGAGTCCAGCATTAGTAGCTCCCACTCCACAGCAGCCACCCACCAGCAGCACCACCAGCATCATCCTCATCTGGCCGAGATGCACCGTTGCTCGCAGCCCAAGATGCCGCCATATCCATTCGGTGGCTACATGGTGCCCAGTCAAGCACGACAAGATTGCCGGGAGACGGCGTCGCTGATGCGGCCCCGACGCACAAGTGAGTATCCGATTCTACCGGGGATTATGCAATTACTATATCTTTAACCCACTTGGGCACTTTGGGAGCACACCACACTAGAGCACAAAGTACAAGGGCGGCTTCGATTGTTTGTAATTTGAGATCAATTCGGTTGAAAATCAAACTTAAAACATAGATTTACGGTTTCGGTTTATTAGTTCTTACAGGTGATACTTTAAGATAAGTCAAGTTTTTTATAAACTTACAACTTTCTAATCTAGTTAATTAAATTACTCGTCTGCTAATTAATCAAGCACTTCCCAAAGTTTACTTAACGCCTGTCTTTCGGTTAAGGAAACCGGTTTACTTTATGCTCTAGCTAAAACGAAATGGCCCAGCCATTGCCTTAAGTCTTTCTCTATATATATTTTGGGTTTAAATTGCAGACAGAAAGTTAAAGAGCCGGTAAAGATATATCATAATATTCTGTGGCAATGCAACTGACTGTCTGCGATATGGTTTCAGTTTTTATCATTTTAATTTATATTATTTTTGTTTCTTACTTTTTCCTTTCCTTCCACAACAAACAAACTTAATTTCGCCAAGGTATTTGATCGTTTTTCTGTGAACACACTGCTAACTTATATCGATTTCTTAATTTTTATGATTTTGTATGACGCAAGCGAAGCCCTAACAAAATGAATAGTTACCAACAAAAAATCGCACTAAGAACAAAAAATGAAAAAACTGTGAAAAAGAAATTTTGGTGTGGGCAGAAATAATAATTAACAATTTGAAATTGGCGATCGGTTAAGGAGGCACTCAAGCACACACAACAAGCCACACAAATATACAAAAAATAATCTCGAAATATTTTGTAAAAACGAAAGCACTTAAGTGAAATGTAGAAATAAAAGAAAGTCTACTGCAATTTGCCCCTTTGTATTATTTCGTATGGCACCTCCGTAGTAGCTTTTCCTTTGGTACTAACTCAATTTTCTTTTCGGTTGCCATTATTAGTATGAAAATAATGTATTTTTAACTTTGCCAAAACACAAATTACGCTTACAATACCAAATTAAATTATTGAAAACAAAAACGAACAAAATAAACTGCTGCCTGAAATGAAATTGAATCCCGGTCAGTGGAGCCAGCAAGACAGGCGGCGCCTCCAGAAGAGCCATCCTTCACGGAGGACGAGTACCACAGGTTCTACGACACGGCCCTGGAATGTAAATATTTGCTAAGAGAAAAAAGAAAGAAATTTATAATGCATTGCCATCTTGCATGATTGTCCCCCATATTGGATCTCGAAATTGCATCTAGACTTCAGCCATGAAAGCATTTGCCACACAAATATACACAGCTTGCCTTTGAAATAATCATCTGACATTTAACATTTGCCATTTTTCCCGCTTCTCCACCTTCACTGTCCTCGAACTCGCATATGAAAATAGTTCATCCGCCCTGTTGACCCTGACTGACATTCTTCTCCCCTTTTTTCTATCTCATTGACAGCCTACGACCTGGCCACTCAATGCGAGTCGAGGAGGGCTTCCCTGCGGCGCCACACCATCGTGGGATGCCAGAGCAACCTGGACGAGACGCACTCCATGCCGCCCACGCGGCCCGAGTCACGTCAATCGGACGACGTCAGCAAGGAGGTGAGTTTCCCAACATAATCATAAAGAATTTATGAGAAGAGCCCCCTCGTAAATTTGTTATTGTAATTTAATAGATGGACAGACATATTTAAAGTATGACTTGTATCTCAAGGGGTGTTATTTTCCCCGCAACAAGCTCGACTTTTTTTTGGTACCCTTAAGGATACCTTTATTTATTGTTTGTCCTAACAATCTTTAAACAATACTTAATTGAAAAATCTTTATTAAATCCTTTACAGACGCCCAAGAAAAGTCCTTCGGATATGACCCATCCCTCAGACGAGGCCAGTTCAACATCCTCGCTTGGCCCATGGAACAAGTCCTTCATGGACAAGCAAACCTGGATGGAACGGGGGGACGATCGCCTGTCCGTCACTCTGGCGGAGATCGTTCACATCCGTTCCGTCATGACCAAGGCGGAGCTGGAGGGCCTGCCAATGGACGTGCGCGTCAAGGAGGATGTTGAAAAGCGTCGCGTCTGCTTCCTGTGCCTGCGGACCCGTTTTTCGTTCTTCGGTCCTTGGGGCATCCAGTGCAAGCTGTGCCAGCGCACCGTCTGCGCCAAGTGCTACACCAAGGTGGGTAATTAGGGCTGATTTTCGTAATGACTTACGTTTATTAATAATTTTATCTTTACCTCCAGATGCGCATTCCCTCGGAGCACTTCCGCAATGTGCCCCTTGTGCTGATCTCGCCATCGCTGCTGTCCAGTCCGGCCAGCTCGAGCACCCCATCACCCTCCCATCATGCCCAGCAGGCGCATTCGTCATCGACGGGGAATATAATGGACGACCAGTTTCCCAAGTCGCTGATCGAGCGTCTCCTGCGCTCCGAGTCAGAGCGAAAGGTATGCATTGTTATATTCCTGATGTTAATCGTCGACTTACTGATGAAATTCGTCCAGACTCGCAGCACTGTGGGCAGTGCCCCATCCTCACCCAAGCACCAAAGATCAAACATGAGCACGCCGGGCATTAGCGTGGGTCCCGGAGCATCCTCATCCTCGGCGGCCACCACTGGCCACGCTGTGGAGGCGCTACACGACCAGGCAACCATGTCGGCCTCCTATTCCGCAGCCATGCGACCCTCGGGCGTTCATCAGCAGCAAAAGCAGCACTACAACAACGCCATGTCAAGAAGCATGGAGGGACCTCGGAGTCTGCCCGTGCACAGCCCAGCATATCGACCGCTTTCCAACAACAGCACACTGGAGAGAAAGTGAGATTTGGGATGATGTTCCAATATAGTTCGTTCTTATTAAATCAAATTCTATCCATTCAGATCTCGCTTTTCGAGGGGCTTTAACCTTTTTTCCTCTGGTAGCCATCTTGCCCAGACACAGGAGCAGAAAGAAAACCTGCGTGGCGAGCAGGTGACCGTGTGCAACGACTGCCAGGGATTGGTCAACGAGATCACCAGCTCCGTAAAGCAAAAGCGCAGCTCTGCCCGGAACCGCACCATTCAGAATCTCACCCTGGATCTGACGCCTGTCTGGAAGTAGACCGGATCGGATAGGATCGCAGTGTAGTGCGTTTGAAGACCGTATGATGGTCGCCATGGAGTTCTAACGACTGACTTGGCTCTATAACGTTATACTTATGACTTTGATTGACTCATCATTAACGGACGAGGGGCAACGGACACTATTTGATTACTGACCACATTTCAGAACTATTTGAATTTTGATTTTCAACGTGACTGTTTTATGGCCTTCGAAACGCACTTGATTATTTAGATATTTACATATATATATATGGATTAGATCGACTGTTGTACACATTAAAGGATAGAGCCTCAAGGAGCCTCGTTTGTAAATCGTGTTAGTCTAGTGAATAAGCAAAGAAGAATACCGAGAATTCCTGGCTGAAGCTTTGTACATTTTCTGCCGGCTACAGAGAGATCCGCTTGAGCGCACCCCACCACATACTATTTATAAAGAAGATAACTTACACATCGCTAAACATTATATTATCGCAATACGATGCCGTTGTTTGTAACTGTTTAATTTATGCGTAAATGTTGATTAAGTACACGTAATCGTAACTCTTGTATCCGCGTATATCAAGTGCACATATATTCGATCTTAGTTCTATCCCCAGGCTCTTGCTCTCAATTTAGCATGAGCGACTCTACGTATCATAAAGAATATATCCATATTCGCAATACGATTCCCCAGTTCAGAGAATGAATTTCGGTTGTTGAAAATACCATAGTTAATCCGAAAATGTTGTGAAACTTTTGTGCTTGCGCAGATCTTTGTTTACCTTGTGAAGTTTTCGTTTTGTTCCCCCATTATCTACTATAATGTCCGTGTATAACGCAAGAACTACTTGATAGCCTAATTTAATTTTAGTCGGTGTTGCAATGCAACCCAAACTATTTAGTTAATTCATTTAGTTTTAATTCTACCCTGAGTGCGTATATTTTGTAAGCGAACCTTAACGAAATCATTGTATTACCTACTAGTAACTGCTATTATAGTTTTCCAAGCAATTTTTGAAAATTTTTGTTTATTTTCTCCGTAATTGTATATGCATTTAATTACTTATAATAATAAATTTTATGCTTTTAAGTTAAATTCATTTACAATAATTTAACACATACACGAACACAGAGAGATCAAAAACACACAAAACAGCAATAATAAAACAATTACAAACTAATGAATTAAATTATTTTTCGGGTTTTACAAACTGGTCTTTATTTAAAACACTCTGCTTAAGGAAACAAATGGATCCGTAAATAAATTAGAGTTCATCTCGTTATCTATGTAAACAGACTATACATATTTTTTTGGAGAATTTTCTGTTTCTCTTACGATTATTTTTGCAAACTACAAGAAAGCATATGTTTAATAAGTAAGCGCTTAAAGCTAGGTCAACTAGATCTACCGAGTAACAGTTAAGGTTGGTCTACTGCCATCAAAACACTCGGGTGGCGGAAGATAGATGGATGAGCTAATCCCCACGCGCTTTCTTATTGCCATGTTTGTGGTCGTTTCCGCCATGACGCTTGCGTCCGAAGCGCTTGCCCTTGTTGCGGGTGAAATCTCGGCGTTTCTTCATGAATTCGATGGCCTTGTCGATGAACTCCTTCTCTTCCTCCTCGGTGGCCTTACGCAGATTTAGGGAGACCTCATCGTTGAATTTCAGCTGAGGATTGGAAAGTTCAAAATAAATTTGACGCCTATTGAAGTTTAATTATACTTGGTAATCTCACCTTTCCCTCCTCCACCTTGGCAATGTACTTTTCGGCCGCATCGGCCTCTGTCAGACGCACGGAACCCTTAGTTTCACCCTTGGCGAACTCGATGTAGGCCACCTCGAAGTCCTTGATCTTCTCGAAAGCCTCGCGGATCTCCTCGCGAGTTGAAGTCTCCGGAGCACCTTCAAAGACCACAATGGCGTTCTTGGGCAGCTCAAAGGCCGGCTCCGGCTTGGCCTCTTTCTTGTTCTTCCGCTTCTCGTTCTTCTGGGCGTACTCCTCTTGCTTTTCCTTGAGATAGTCAACCTGCCACTTGCGCAACAACTCGCGCTCCTTATAAGCAATCTTCTCCTGCTCTAGGAAAGCCTTCGCCTGATCCTTGTTCTCGAATGTGAGGAAAATGCTTCCCTTGAACTTGTACGACTTTGTGGGCTTATCGTAGTGCTTTCGCATGGTCAGGTTAACCACTTTGTCGTAGTTGGCGGCAAAGTCCAAGAGTTCACTGATCTGGGAATCCAGAGGGAAGCCCTTGGCGTAGGCGGTGCGTTCCTGGATCTCCTTTCGCCGCTCCTCGTTATGCTCCGGGATGGGACGCTCTGGATGGCGACGCAGATTAAGTTTATCCTCGCTGATTTCCACGAGGCCTTCCTCCGATTTGTTGAGGGCAGCCACAATCTCGGCGAAATCCGTGGTCAGGGCAGCCAACCGTTTAAAGGTGATGAGGACAGATAACGGCACCCAGCTATCCTCGTTCTTGCCAATCTGCTCCCGCAGGAATTTGTCCCGATTGAGGTTGGCATCGCCGAAATAGTACTCAACTTGTCGGATTATGGCGCGCTCCTGTTTGGATAAGTCACCGGTGGATTCTTCGGCTGCCGGAGCCGGTTCCTCCTTAGCAGCGCCGTTCTTCGCATCCACCACGGGCACCTCAGTGGCCTGTGTTTCCTCTTCCTGTACTTCCACACTCGGGGTTTCAGCAGCTTCGGACATTTTAGATGAGTGTTTCGCGCAGAAATGAAATTAAACGTGCGGTGCGGTGTCTAAAACACGTGTGAAATTACGTTGTTAAACAACACTGGAATGCCAGCACAGGGATGGGCAAGGAAAGTGTACAACTGGTTTCGTGAAGACACCTTGTCCTGAAAAAAATCTTACATTACTTAAATAGTAGTGTCTTATTAAATAATATACAAATATTTTTTGAAACTATCCAAATAATGGATAATATGCAACATCCATTGCATTTGAATTTTTGAATTTATATGTGTTTTAACATTGCCATTATCGAACTCAAAATTGTAATCACTCATTTAGGATTAAAACTTTTCTAATTCAATATGTTAAATCTTAAATTTATTAAATTTAAAATTATTAAAAACCTTAACAAACCAAAATATCGGTATAAATTCTGGATGGCCCATCGATGGCACTATCGATGAGAAGGACCTGTTGGCACGCGCACACCGCTAGTCTAGCTGCGGGCGATTGCAGCCCTGGTTTTCTAGGTTTCTATTTTGGTCGTGCTCTGTGTTTTATTTATGTTTGCCATGGGAAAAGAGTGTTGCTAATAGTGCTTAAATAAGTGCACCTGGTAAACCGAAAGGGCGCACCAATTGGTTGACCCTAAACAACACAAAATCGGCGCTAAAGTAAACAAGTTTTTCGAATTACATATTTGTGAGTGCAGTTCGCATCGGATAGAAAACCGAAAAAACTACCAATAAATAGTGAAAAGTGTGCTCTTTTTTAGTATATAACTAATTGTGTATATAAAAATAAGGGTGAAATAGCAGCAACAACAACGAAATCGAAGAAAAACCCACTATTACTCACTATTCTATTTTTGCTCAACGAACGACAAGAAACAACAACAAACGGAGCAACAAATGTTTGTTAAAACGAAACGCAGCTGAAGGTGAGCTCATATAATAATAATAATAAAAAATAAACAGTTCAGACAGTTTGGCTGGGAAATGAAAATGAGTCAGATTTTCCAATAACTATTCGTCTGGCCAAAAGTTCAGTGGCATCAGAAAATTAACCCCACTGCCCTGCGATGACGCATCCAAGTAGAGGCATCAATAGACATCCCCACTATGCCAGTTAGAGTGCAACCTCATAAGATTGAACTTTGTAGGGTACCACTAGGATGAAATATGGTGCCTTTAAAAGCTATTAATATCTTGAAAGAAAATGTAGCAAGATAGACAGTGTAGTATCAAAAAAAAATATTGATCGACGGCTCAATAATGGTTTATGGACTTTTTCTTGAAGCTCTTCTGTACTTTCAACACATTTCTTTGTTCAACTTCCTACTCCTAGTGCAAATGTAATTTGTTGCCGGTTTTTGGGGAAGTTTCCTTTGCGCCGTCTCCGAAAAGTCGACGAGGCTGAAGAGCCCGTCTGCATAATCCATTGGGTCAATAGCAATGGCTCCTACATGGGGCATCCTATCCCGTGCCTCCCGTTCCGAATAGTGTTTGTTTGTCAGCATTCGCTGTGAAAATAAAGTGCTCTGCCGGACGATGAAGGAGGCACGTTTCGGTCCCTGCCACCTGTCTCCAAGTCCCACATTCCCCTATTGGATCCCCAGAACCAACAAGCATCATTACCCGAACAATTTTGAACTGCTGCCAAGAGAATTTCCTATGAAAAGCTTTGGCAAACCGAATGCAGATTCGTTATTTTCTTTATTCACAAATGAGGTTTAGGTTTCGGCTTAAAGAAAACAGAAGGTTCAACGGCGAACTAAAATTTATTTGTCCTCTTACTATACTGAAAAATCATTGTAACAAAATAAATTTATAAAAACTTCTTAATAAATTAAAGTTATATAAAGACCATTACTACATTTTCAAGGGGTAAAACCAAGTCGTATCTATCTGTACTTGCGATTTTCCTCATTGTGCTTTATTATTGTTATTTTTGCGCTTTAATGAAAGCATTTCAGAAATATCTGTATGTGGGTATCAATTTTTGGCCATAAATTCATTTTCATTTGTGGATGCTAAGAAACAGCATTTCTTCATATTTCCGCCGTTGACCTGGTTTTTGGGAATGTTGGCAATACGAGAACTTTGATTTTCAATACCCTCAAGTTATAAGAACTCCCACTCGCTCACCTCTTTTGTGTGTGGGCATGGGGCATGCAGAACGATGACTTCCTCCGCCACGAAGTATCTATAAATACGGTGAAGCAATCAAATTATATTATGTCTATATATCTGAGGAAATGCATCTCAAGTGGTGGCTGTGCAGCCTGTAAATCTCAGTATTGACACATTGAAGGGGCATTATTGAGTGCAGTTCGGATGAGGTATAGTAGGGATAGCGATCCGGATCCGGTCGTGACAAGATAGAACTGCATAAATTTTTGGTTTTGGTTTTTTTTTTGTCTTTTCCCCTGACTTTGCCAAGCAAAACAAAAGCACATCCACTCGCTTTTCTCGCATCTCTCGCCGTCGATGTTGTTTACGTTCTCTGTCGCCTCACGAAAATAAACATTCGGCGATTTGATTTGAGGTTTTCCCCCTCCGATGGATGCGACGTTTTCTTCTTCGTCAAATTGCGCATTTCCGGAAGCCGTAGGACATTCATTTGATTTCTGCCTTCAGCGACAGATTGTTAATAACCAAGAGATCGCGTATATTTAGAGAGCGTGGGCATATTGTATCTGAGTCTATATCTGAATCTGCATCTGTATCTGGATTTGAGGTTGCGTTTGCTGTTTTGTGCGGCGCCATGTGCCAGTTTAATGAATTAATTAAAATTTGGCTCTGAGAGCTTCAATGGGATACATATCTGCATGTGCGCATCTTTGTATCTGCATTTATGCATATGCACATATGACCTCCGCTTGCATCATTTGGAGCACCTCCACCTACGGAAATTTGATTGTTGTCGGCCATGGACTTAAAGTGATTTCAGGGTTAAGCGAAGCGGAGGGAAATGGCATAGATTTTGCTATGCTTTGCATTGTAATTTTCAAGCATGTATGTCATAATTCTCTATATATGACAGCTTCGAAGATGGTATTAATACTATTTTCTGGTTGTCAAAATGTGTTAAATATGAATACAAAATATTATAATCATATGTATTAAAAAGTTTAGGTTTTTGAAATAAATTTCTAAGAACTTAAATTGTATCTGCCTAGAAAATCTTGAAATATATAACGTTTGAAATTCATATATATCACGTTCCTAAAGCCATAATCCCATTAAAACCATAATGCCAAATTATTACTTAAACGACAACATATGTATCACTATATTCTAGATTTATTCCTATAATCTGTGACAGAAACCACATTCCATGGACATGTCGCATGAATCACAGGCATATTGTATAAAGCATATATATAAGCCAGCAGGAAACTGAACGGAACAGGTGAAAATTTCACAAATAATTCACAAAGTGGTCTGACCAAGACCTACTTATATATGCAGAATTTTCCGATTGATGAATGTTCCCATAAACATGGTAGATTTCACATTCAATGAACATTCTCCTATTCCACTTATATTTTGGCACAAATATTTTTATGGGATTTTTCAAAACACAAAACAAAAGCATACCGAGGAATGCTTCTGGTGCCGTAGCTACTGTCGCTTATTTCTCAATGAAATAAAATTAAGATACAGCACGATCCACTGAAGTCACCATTTTGGAAAAGCTGATGAAAAAGTTGTACCCGGGATCCATATTTATATGTCACATCTTTGTTGATTTTTCGTGAAAATATGCGACGTATCCGTTTAAAAACGCTCGAATATATCTATATATTTGTGGAAATATATTCGATTCTCTCACGATCCCGCACTGAGACAGTGAGAAAATGACGAGGAGAGTGGCACTTTCGGTTGCCGTGGAAAATTCGGCTGCCATTTGTCGCCAGTCTTTCTGTATTTTCCGCTTTTCTCGCCAGTTTCGCTGAAGCAATGAACGCGTGCGGTGCAACGTCTGAAAGCAGCAGAAACGGCGGAAAACGGCAAATTTTCGTACAACAATTTATTGTTGAAAAAGTATATATCACCTATATAATAGAAAAAGCTAAGCGTGTACATATAAATTCGAGTGTCTGAGTGGCAAAAAAAGCGACAATTTAAAGGCATTTTTATGCGTGTGTGCAACCAAAACGTGACCTTGCCTCAGGGAAATATTCTCGGTCTAAATTCTTAGGAAAATCATCAAATTAATCTTGAAAATCTCTTGGGACCCTGTAAAATAATGGAAAAAACTATTCGGAAGAGCCACTAACATTTGGCCGGGTTCCCGTTTGCCATATGGGACTCGCTAGTCGCAAAGATGTATATTTTTGTCGGTTTTTTATTTTTAGTAGCCCAGCAGAGAAAAAAAATGATTTTGGGCAAAATAAAAACATGGTATTCATATTTTTGCGTATTCACATTGCTGCAATAGAACAAAAATGCGATTAATCTAATTATATATATAAGTAAAATTGTAAGGTTTTTGACATATTTTTGAGTTAAATTATAAATTATTTAGCATTCTGTGTTATGATTCTAAAGACTACAGAAATTGGTTATCGGCTTTTATACTTTTATGACTCACTACTAGTGACGAAAGCCATGTACTTTTTCTTGTATTTATTTTATGACCATTTACAAGTTGTCGCTCATACAAAAGATAATGTCACTGAGCTATGGAACATTGAGAATTTATTGTGTGTAGTAGGTTTGTCCAATGTCGCTGTACATTTGATGGGATATTCAAAAAATATTTTTACAAATTTGCTTCTTTTAATAGATTACTGATTTCATGGATCACAAATGCACTTGCCTTCAAAATAAGAAAAAAGCCCAACCCATTTCCGTCAACGAAAAGTGTTTAACGATTATCATAAACATTCATCGATTTGCAATGTGTTGGATTCAAATGTTGATCTGTTAAAGAATTGTTCGGACAACCCATAAAAAAACTGGATCGTAAATATTTTCAAACACGACATGGTCGTTGTTTATGATTTATACGTTGGCCTGTCCGGTTTTTTAAAATTATTTTCATGGCTCTAAACGAAATGTTATTCTTTCACAATATGTGAGTGATTTTTACCCAATTTTTTTAATGGCTTTTCGCAGCTTGTGTGACCTTGGCCATCATGTAGCTCGCACGAGTTTTCCAGACACTTGCAATGGGTTAGAAAAGAAAATGCCGGAGGGGAGTCGCCGGAAAAGTGTCAAGAAACTTGCGCACGCGTTTCTCGACATATGTTTTCAAAATGTTTTCTGGTTTTTTTTTGGGCAATAATTATTGCTTGGCTAATGCCAAAAATCTAGAGGAATTCCAAGCGATCGGCAATGATGTTGCTCATCGCTGCAATAATGCGTAGGTGCTGTATAAAGAATAGAGAGATATGTTCACATATGCTATTTCATTGAGCAAATTGCCTGGCTGATATTTCAAGTTCAACATCCATCGCCTCGTTTCAGTCAAAGCAATCTAGTGCGGATCCGGAGCAGCCTTGAACAGCCCGACAATGGATCAGCCATTGGTGGTGCAGGCGGAGTACAGCTTTATTGGCAGCAACAACGATGAGTTGTGCTTCCAGAAGGGCGATCTCATCACGGTCACCCAGCGTGAGGATGGCGGCTGGTGGGAGGGAACGCTAAACGACAAGACTGGCTGGTTTCCCAGCAACTATGTGAACGAGTGCAAGGCGCAGTTGCCTCTGACGGAGACCATTAGGCCGCCGGAGGAAATCCAGGAGTATCGATCCGTGGTGCTCAAGGATCTGCTCGACTCGGAGCGGGCCCATGTGGCTGAGCTACAGGGTCTGCTCGAGAATTTTCTAGAGCCCATGCAACAAACGCAGATGTAAGTTTTAAGTTATTCAAGTTAACAAAATTTCCCTATTTATTTGTGTTTTGTACAGTCTTAGCCAGGATGAGTACGCCCAGCTAATGTGCAACTTTGTGGAGATAGTGCGAACGCACGAGGATCTGCTCATCCAGATCGAGGAGTGCAACGATCGAGTCGGAAAACTATTCATTACCAGTGCCCCCTTGATGAAGAAGGTCCACCAGGCCTACTGTGCTGCCCATCCAAAGGCTATAGTTATTTTGGACAAGTACAAGTAAGTTAATCAGCAGATTCTTCTTTTTAGGGAACTTTAATTTTTTCTTCTTTTTAGGGAACTTTAATTTTTAATATCTATAATTAAAAGTTAGAAGAAAGGACCAATAGTTGGGAAATATTAATTTAACAGATCTGAAATATAGTTTTTTGTTGTAGCAAATTATGCCCATTCATATTTATAGTTGCTTTTTGTTTTCTGTTAAAAATAGAAAATCTTAAGTGATCAAATTTCATGTGTTTTAATCGTTTTCTTATATATCTAGATTTTTGGGGCATGAAATGTATATAACCCATAATTTCATTGCATAAAAAGATAAAACATATTAACAAATTTATTTGCAATTCCAATTAATTGAAATTTATTTCTTACCAATCAGGGATGATCTGGAAAAGTATATGGAGAGGCAGGGTGCCGCCACTCCTGGATTACTTGTACTCACAACGGGCCTATCGAAGCCCTTTCGGCGGCTAGATAAATATTCTGCTATGTTGCAGGAGCTGGAAAGGCATATGGAGAGCAGCCATCCAGATCGTGGCGACACTCAGCGAAGTGTTGCCGTCTACAAGGATATAGCCGCCACCTGTTCGGCCACCCGTCGGCAGAAGGAACTGGAGCTGCAGGTGCTCACTGGGCCAGTGCGTGGATGGCAGGGCCAGGAGTTGAGCACTTTCGGAGACATCATCCACATGGGCAGTGTGGCTGTTGGAGCTGATCATCGCGATCGATATTTTGTTCTCTTCCCGCAAACATTACTCTTCCTTAGCGTTAGCCAGCGGATGAGTGCGTTCATCTACGAGGTAGGAAATTGCATTAATGTAAAATCAAGATCACTTATTATTATCCTTTCTTAACCCAGGGCAAACTACCTCTGACTGGGATCATAGTGAATCGTTTGGAGGACACGGATTCCATTAAGAACGCCTTCGAGATAAGCAGTCCTTTGATTGATCGTATTGTGGCCGTCTGTCAGGGTCCAAATGAGGCCAACAAATGGGTGGAGCTGCTCAATGCCAATAATCCAAGCCTGCCAATGGGCATCAAGAGGCAGCTAAGCAACCTAAGTAACTCCTCGCTTGGACACCTAAATGCCGCTCATGTAAGTAGTGTACCTTTGTCATATTTACCTTTATTATCGTTTCGTTTTGGCGACACTTTAAACCGTGAGCAGCTGAATCAACATCTGGATTCACGGGGTTACTGTACGCGATTCTCGCTTTGTGCCTACTACTCCGGTCCACCATGTCATGTTAGACCCCTCCGGCTGACTCTTCCGCCCAGCAATTACCCACCCACAGCACCGTACGCCAATCTAAGTGCCCACTTCGCGAGACTTGTGAAGGGCGGAGGATTAAGGAGTGCCATCGTTAAGATGCTGCTTTATCCACAGGCTCGCCAGAGCATTGATCTCAAGAGGATTGCGTTGCGTAAGAAGCGCTGTCACAAGGCGGCTGCAAAATTGAAGGATCTCAATGCGAATCAAGATTCGGGACAATCGGAGCTCGAGCGGCAGGATGCCATCGAATTTCCCACGGATTCGGAAAGTTACGATGATGAATTTGAAGATGATTTTTTGCATTCCTGCGACTCAGATCCCTTTGAGTATGTGCAGTTTTACCAGAACAAGCGCAATGATTCCATGTGCAACTCTACGGGTACTTTTGTTGACCATGGCACAAGTTCCAGGAGGCACTGTTCCTCTATTAATCTAATCAAACTGGATTCCGTGGACACGGACGAGGTCTTGGCACAAAACGAGCTTAAAAAAGAGTCACTTATAATAGGATCTAGGGCTCTAAGAGCCCTGGCTCGCAAGTCCACTACTCGGAATTCCAGTGTGCATACTTCCACGGCCACTTTAGAGTTGGGATTGGGTGGCAGTATTACAAACTGCGTAGAGGAGGAGCCGGCAGTGAAGTTTAAACAACCATGGTCTCTGCAGCAACAGGCGTCCGATGCCAGTTCCAAGTATGCAGCCAGATTGGGTGGGACGTTTACCGCATGCGAAAACCTGGCCAGTATGCCCGATGATCTCAGCCGGGAGGCAAGCGTCCAAGGGCCACCGACTCCACTGCCGGCCTCTCCGACAGAACGTCACAGTATGCCCACCATATTTGTGGGTAATCGCTTTAACCAAAGCAAAAATACGGAGGTCTATGTACCGACATGGCGAGATCGCCAAGATATGCAGAAACAAAGCGTTGATGCGGAGCAAGAGGAGGAGTTGCACTCGAGTTCCATGGATCTGCCTGCGGCGTGTCGTACAGCTCCGGACAAACTGCAGGCGGAGCTGCTGTACAACTATGACGAGGTCCTGGCAAATCCTCTAGAGCTGCAAAGAGAGCTAACGCCTTTTCCGGGGCATAATCTTAACTTGGCCAAGAGGACTTCCCATAAGAGTGACAGTCCCTCGACGGGAAATCCCAAGACAGCTCCAAATCCAGCTACAAGAAGTAGTTCCACCACCGAACTCTGCATCGATACCTCCTCTAAAAAACGTAATCCTCCGACGGAAAAAGTAGAGAGTCCATAAGACGTTGCATTAGCTATCAGTTTCTGCAGATGTCAAATCGCCCGCCGCCTCCTCCTCCACCCCGCAGAGATCCGGATCTTCACTTGGACACGAAATGCCGCTGCTGCGAGAGCTCACAGTGTCCCAGTCCACGCTCGAGTGACAGCGGAATGGCTGGCAGTTGTACTATTACTTCACCAGACCCTCCCAACCCAGAATCATACTTTCCGATGGAAGCCGCTGGCCATGATATGCTGGATAATGTGGAACCAGAGAGGTTTGATGTGTGCGGAATGTTTAGGGAGAAGTTCCTCACACCAGAGGCCACACAGGATGTTGCGGATCCATTAGAGGAACAGCCTGAGAAGTTGCCGGATGAGCCCAGTACACCCACAAATCCCAAAGAGGAATCATCCTGCATAAGCTCTGCTCAAGTCCAAGTGAACACCAGGAGTATTTTCCTGCCCTCCAGCGCGAGCATGGATGAGACTCGCAGAAATGTCCCGTCCAAATGATCTCTTATTTAGCTCGAGTTCCACCGATCAACTGGGACCTCAGGCCACCTTTCGATCGGGAATGTATGCGCACTGGTGGAAAAAGGAGCGGTTGCCGCCAGAAGTGGTTCGCGGCATAGCTCACGCCTATAACAAAAGCCTGAACTCCAAGGACTCCAAAGACTCGGGGTCGGTGTGCTCAAGCTGTTTCTGTTCGATGGGAGCCAGCGACTACAGCGAAGGCGCATTGTATTGTTCAGTTTGCCAGAACTGTGCGGATTTCTACAATGGCAGTGCAACCAGCACCACCAACACGACGACCACCACGTCTTCCTCCAGTTGTCCATTATGCAGCGAGGATGAGGGCATGATCGCCTCCATCCACGACTCGTCCTCAATCGACTGTCCCATTTGTACGGGCCGCGTTGCTTCCGGCGCCGAAGAAGGCAAGCAAACCGAAATAGATCGCCGGCCAGGTGACCTGAGGATTCCTTCGGAATGGCATCCGGTTTTCCTGGCCGGCGGCGTTTGTTCCGTGCACGTGTTCCGTTTGATTGTTTTGTAAATTCGTTTTGCTCTCTCATGTTCCTTAAATTCAAAAACCTCTAATGCTCAGACCAACTAGCAAAACATTTGGCCAAATGCAGCACGTCCAAAAAAAAATGTCACCAATGAATTCACACAAAGCTTCCTCATTAGCACATTCTTTGACTAACCCAGTATGAAATGAGTATTTACTCAAATTTTAAAGGGAATTGATCAGATAAATAAGCATCGCTGAACAGAATATCCTGCGAATAAAAAAAGACTAAAAATAATGTTTGGAAAAACAAAATTATAGCCTTTGGCAAGTAGAAATTTTTAAAATTGTAATTTTCGAAAGGATAATTATGAAGATTTCTTTTTCATTTATGCGTCCAAAGGCAATTAATAATCACAATCAATCCTTCACCGACTGCAATAAAATATTCATCATCATTGGTACCTTGTTTTGAGTTGAAATTTCATCTGTCCAAAAGCTAAACGAATTACAAAACATTTATCTAACGCTCAGCAACACACAAATTCGAAATGAGAATGAAAATTCCAAATCAAAAAACAAACAAACGCATTCGATTCGATTTGCTTGCTGCGCTTTGCTCGCTGCAGGAATTGCCTGAAGGACCTGCCTACGCCTGCCGTTGTACGTTTTCTTGTTGTTATTGAACCGCCGATCCTGTTGATCTTGGTGGTGCTCATACAAATTCTCCGATCATGAAATTAACTAACTTTACTAGTTTAGACTAAGTTGATTAAAACTCTTTATATAACTATATAACTTTGGCATTGCAGATGTCGCCGCCGTCGAACCACAGCCTGCACTTGCCCACCGGCGGCCGTCCTCCGGCCACGCCCAGCAGCATCCCGCCCAGCGCCAACAGCGGCGGGAGCAACAGCCACCAGGGCTCGCCAGCCACCAACTCGATGTCGCATCACAAACGGAGCCAGTCGTTCAATCACCACCTCAGCTACAATCAATACATGCCCACTCAGCCTCCACCACATCATCTGCATCCACAACAACCACCAAGTCTGCCAAGTCATCTGGGGGCAACCGGCCCCAGATCAAGTTCAGTCCAGACACCAAACAGCAAGACAGCAGCTCCAATCCCGGCGTCATCCATGGACGGCAGTCCAGCAATTCAGGCAGCAACAGCAGCGGCAGCGGCGGGAATGGGGGTGCCAAACGCAAGGAAAGGAAGCACAAAGGGTGAGATACCAATATCCAAATCTTATTTATTTAATAAAAAACACTGTAACTTTTTCCTAATTCAACTAAGAATCATTCTCTAACTCGTATGTTCCATCCTCAGCTAACTGGACCATCAGCTGCCTGCGTCCCACGCCACCTTTGCGTCCTAGTTTGTTGAATGCCACTACCGGTTCGGGAAGTGGCAGCGGTGGGAGTGGCGGAGGCAGCAGCTCCAGCAATGCCCTGGCAAGCTACTGCAGCGGAAGGAAGAACCAGCCCACCTACGAGGAGGATGCCCTGGTGCTTCGGGTATTTGAGGCGTACTGTGCCGCGTATCAGAACAACGCTAGGAACACCATTCACTCGGGTAAGTGGCGCCGGCCATCCCAGATGTGCTTCATCTAGCTGTAAGCATTTCCATGTGCTCCCCCGAACGAAGTTATGATTTTCATTTGCTGAAGAACAAAGGCTAAATATTGTTAGCTAAATTGCTTATTTACACACTCACACACAAGACACAGCTGTACAATCCTCACACAAACACAGACTCACTTAAAAGTCCAGGCGCTAATCAAACCATTTATCATTTTGTCGGTTTGGTTGCTCTATTATTTCATGGTTTTTATTCATTTCTCACCAGGCGTTGCATTATTAAACCAGGAATAATTTTCAAAATTTAACCAAGAATATTGTATTAGGCTTAGTTGAACCATTAACTTTAAGCTTACAAAATGTTAACCAATTACCAAATTATTTTTAAGAGAATCAATCGATTTTTAGTTGTACAATTGGCAATTGATTTCGTTTTAAGATCCACAAACTCAACTCTGCAATTGGTGCTAAGCCGCGCGTAAAGGAAACCAAAGTTTTTGTTTTAAAAATTGTCAATTATTTTGTATTTCCATAGTTATTTGTATTGACCACAAATTGAATTTAGATTATTTTGTTTCTTATATTAAATAAATATTGTTTTTGTTACCCCATTTTTACCAATGTAAAATTTAGTTTAATTTATTCTTACCGCCGTGTTTGTTCCCACTCCCATTCCCAGGCCCAAGACAAACCTCATTTCGACTAATTCATAATCATTAACCTTAAGTTAATCTGCACATTCTGTATATATGTTGATTTTATGGTTGGAGGTCTTAAGTTAACCATTTTTGCACACTTATCCCATACTCTTGATTCTACTCACTAAACCCGGTATATTTTGTGATCCTTGTGCTACTGGTAATGGAACTGGTAACTTTTGTTTTATATCCTCTGGCCGCATTCCTAATTTGGTGTCGTAATCATCCTTCTAGGAACATACTATCCCAGCTTTAATCACCATCTTTACATTTAATCGTTGTAGTTGTCTCCTTGTTGGCTTGTTGTGATCTCTTCGCTTTTGTTTTGTGGGTTTTTGATATCCTTTTGTCCCTCTTGTGTCGTTGTTGGTATTTCGTTTTTCCGTTTCTTCAAGTCTCTTCATTTCTTTCTCTCTCTTTATTCCAATCCGACCTGATCCAAACCGATCTATAGCCTTGCAACCCTGGACTCCGTGTCTGCCCATCCGCGGTGGCAAGCTGAAAACGAGCAAAACCTTCTCGACCTCCAATCCACAGCTGCCTTTCATAGCCAATGTCGGCAACTCACCCTACCTCAATCAACAGCAACAGCAGCAGCAGCAGCAACATCTGCAGCAGCAGCACCTGCAACAGCAACATCATCCTCAGCAGCAAACAGGACGTCAGCACTCCGCCGGCAGTTTGAACTCCTCGTTTATTTGGCGGGAGGCGAGTCCCAACAACTTTAACCTGTACTCCACTTCGGTGTCTTCCTCGCTAAATGCAACGCCTGCGCAAAGGTACTCTTTATCCGGAGCAGGAGGTGGATCGCCCTCCATCAAGGATTACCAGAGAGCTCTATCAGAGGAAAGGGCCACAAGAAAGTCCTTAAATCGCCTAAAGAGCGGCTTTGGCTCTGGTTATGACAATGTCTGCACTTCACCTCTGCTGCCGAGGAAAAATAAGCCGGCTCCCAAGCTGATGGCACAGCAGACGTACCAAAGATCCCCTGGAAACACCACCACAACCACTATAGTGAAGCCAAATCCGGGAGGACATCCAGGTCTCTACGATCGCCGGCTGAACCGTTCCTTCGAGACCTCCACCTCGCATCGCTATGCTGGCTATGGAGCCGGCTATCTGCTGAACTGTGGCGGAGCCTTACGAACTAGTACGCTTCAAAGGAGCACTCCTCAACTGGCTGGCGGAGAACGATCGGATGACAGCGATGTGGAGCGGGAACTGCTGCGGAGCAATGGAGGAGGTCCCTCGGCCAATTTGGAACTCAATGCCGATGGTAGCAAACGGCAATCGGGCAGCTGGTGTTGCGGTAATTTTGTGATGAAACAGTGGCGCAAGATCAACCATGTTTGAGTCGGGGTTTGGGGCATCATCATGCCTTCATCAGTCATCTGCATCGCATCGCATCGCATCGCATCCGCATATCGCATCCCGCTGCTCCAGCTCCAGATACAGATACAAATTACAGATGCTTTGCTTTGAATGCGCTCTGTGTGCAAATTGTTTATTGATTTTTAGTTGATTTACTGGCTGCGCAAAGCTTTCAATGCCACAAGCCTTAGATTCTAGACCAGCGATCTATATAAAGTTGTAAGCGAATGGACAAATAACTTGTACTTCGTTTTGATTGTCTTAGCCTTAAGCTGCGCCTTGATGTGTTTTCAATTCGCACAGTTAACTGAAATGTATATTTAGTTAGCTGAGGGAATCACCTAACATCTAGACTATAACTAGAACTTGTGCTTAGCCTATATTGTTTTTTATCTAACTTAGCTTATTATTAATATGTAATCTGTGAAAAGACTTGGCAAAAGAGAGACTAGTTTAGATGCTATTCGATGTTTTTAATAGAAGATGCTTGCCAGAAAAGTGCAACTCCTGGTTATATTTTGAAATTTTATAGACTTTGGTTCAGCTGGAACAGAAGGGCTTTAAATTTCCGTCCACGGCTTTAGGAATTATATTTTTTTACTTGGCCAAACTAAAGTGGATCACAATTTTGCCATAAGCAAACACAAATGTGCTTAATTGCCATAGTCTAAACTCTACTAGATATACTCGTACTACTTATTGCATCTGTGTTTTTCGAAGGACATCGACCTAGTGAGTTTTGTACTTAAATCTCTGTTACCTGCCTAGCAAGCAATGTGTAATCAAAGAGTGCGCTTTAAATGTTAGTCATAGCTAGATTCAGCAACTAAATCAAAGTAACCAATTGTTGTGCATTATTGACCGAAGGATAAACGAACTTATTTTTTAAGTGTTTTGTGAAAGAAAAAAAACGTTGTCTAACCAAATGAACTACTATATACTCTACTATTAACCAGTTTATACGTTTGTACTGTAATTGAGTTGATAATTGTCGACGAAAGAGAGAGAGATAACTCAACGAATCGAAGCGAACCATGAATAAAATCCTTTACAAGACGAATCTGCCCTTGTTTGTCTGTGTGGTTGTGTGTTTTTTGATGTTATTTAATATATTATTAATCTAAATATACATTTAAACTTTTAGAGTAGCGTTTAGATTGATGTCCTGTAGTTGGATTAAATCAAAATGTAATTAGTTCTCTTGCCTTAGAGTGTTTTAAATATATTCATTCTTACGTTTTTTTTTAGAAAATATAGCTTAAAATTATGATTTACGCCTAACCATTTTACTATACCCACACACAGTCACATTTTGTACATTGCCATTTATACACACTGATCTCCTCATCCGATCTCTCTCACACACAACACTAACATATTCTGTTCTCTGTTCGATTTTCTTTTATCCACCGAAACACAAATCGAAAAGCAGGCCTTGAAAACGAAGATATGACCCCGACATTGCGCCAACTTTGGACAGCCATCCGTCAGATGCAGCAGGACATGTCCCAGATAAAGTTGCAGATCAACGAGGAACGGGCCCTCCGAGCAGATCTCCAGCAGCTGCTGATGCAGCATTTGGAGACGAGCAGCGTGAGCAGCGGGGCCAACACGCCCAAGTGTTGACTATGCAAATGACCGGGTTCTGGAGGGGATTCCCAATTCCTGAAACGACGAAACAATACCCGCCGCTGCTTTTAGCTTTAATCCTTTTTTTTAGATACTTTTACTTTGCACCTCCCGGGGGGACAGTGGGTCAATTACCAAAAAATTATCTACAAATGGACTTTAAGAATCGTATATGGATTGTATTTACCGAAGTACTATATATATCGCATATATCTGTATGTATATTTGTGAAAGGACAATATGCCAATTAAGTGTAAAATTATTAAGCTTTTCTTAACTTGCTTTCGTTTTTTGTCCGTGCGATGACTGTAAAAAATTAGGAAATTTTAAAACAATTATTAAGATTTTGAAAAGAACAAATGAGACAATGAATTAATGAACAAAACTTAAACATTGTTTTAAAATTTCTGTTTTTAGCAAGACGTCTCTTTATAACTCATCTGATTATACATAATTATTTATAATGACTAGATTTAATCATGATTGTAAAAGTTTAGCACAACATGCACTTTGCTTTGGCATAGTTCTTACAGACTTAAGTTATACCTATTTTCGTTGCCGCCTTGCAACTCTTTAAAACTGCTTGTGTAAGTTATGATAATAGATAGTCCCAGTTTTGATCTTAGTTTGGATGGTAACTTTAAATGAATTATACAAAATTCTTAAAAATGTGCCAATATTTTAGTAAGCTGCAACAACGTACGAAACATCGCTCAAAAAGTTGTATTTACGTATTATACTTAGAACATTTATTCGATAATATATACACAAATGTAAATGAATCGGATGGAAGTTTTCATTGAGTTATTAGATTCTCAAGTAGCAGCATCTGGAGATTGGCATCGGAAAGCACATAAGCAGAACAGAAACTACTCCGGATCTTAAGAATGCCTAACGATTTAACAAGTCTAAAACAATGTATAACCGCTATCGCTTGTCTGACAATTTTGCTGAATAATTCGGAATGCCAGGGGATTTTTCTGCTCTGCTTCGTGCGACTGGAAAGAGGAAACCCATGTCGGACTACAGGGGAACATAATGAGATTGCAATCACTCAGCGGCAAAATGAGGAGGCAGTGGCAGTGGCAGTGGCAGAGGCAGCGGCAGATGGCGACAAATGAGCAACAAACCACGTCAAGACCAAGCGACATTGTTGGCAAAACAATTCCAGTGTGTCAGTAAGGATTTGAGAACAATGCAGGCTAGCTTTGCTGGCTGGCTGGCTGGCTTTGCTGACTTGGCCGGAATGTGTCACTTCCACTTCCTGGCTGCTTCGGGGCCGTGGAACCCGGGGTGCACAACAAACTTTGGACGTGCGGATGCGAAGGCTTGCGGAAGTTTTCGCATGCAATCTGCAGCAACTTGGCTGAAAAGATGCCTCCACCTTCCCCGTGTTTGCTGGCCAAATTTATTGCAGCTGCTTAACTAAACTGTCAGATATTGTGGCACCTTGGCCCTGCGGCACCACTCCAGCTTTAATGATTATCATTAGTGCTCTCCACTACGGCAGGCTTGTCGTTTTTCATATTTTCCAACTATTAAATTATTAATAATTAGCAATTACCCACTGGTTAGCAATTTATCAAGGCCTACACGCAGAGAAAGAGGATGCTGTCGGTTTGGTTGGGGGAAATCACATAAAATTAAAGCCGTAAAAAGATAATTATATTGCTAATTTATTCCCCTGTATGGGTATTTAATTTTGTTCTCCTTTTAGTACAAGCAAACCAGTTTAAGCCAACTAGGCTAGAAATAATACGTAGGGGTAGAATAATGTGTAATTTAAATGTATTAAACGTTGATTTGTTATTCTATTTTTTTAATGATAAACAACTTTTAGAAAGAAAGTTTTTCAACAGAACGATAATCAGGCGTAATAACTGTAATGCATCTTAAGGTATTCAAAAAAAAATGTTATCTTTAAGAAAGAGTCGAGAAAATATGATTCTCTAGTACAGTTTTCTCTGAGTGTATTGAGCTGAGGCCTGCCACAAGCCCATCAATTCATCCTGTGGCTTCTCCGACCTCAGTCAACTAACAAATAATAGGCTTGATTGCCCCGGCAGGTAGGGAGTAAAAATCTGGCTCAGCACTAGAATTAACTTGCTTAGCTGGAGCCCCCTAAAGTCTTAATAGGCCCACAGTCGCTCCACATAATCCAGCTGGTTCCGAGCACAGTTAACCCATTTTCAACGCTAACCCATGGATGTCAGCATCCCAGTTCCATCTGCTGACAGCTCTGGCCTGAAATTGAAATTATAATGTAAAACCGCAATATCATTGCATTATGCATGTGTAGCAGTTGTGTTTTATGGCCTGTCTCATTTGGTTAACCATGGTTGTTAGTAGTGGAATACATGTTATTACATATTAATATATCCACTGATATCTGATATAATTTGTGGCCTTTGTTTATATAGAGAAATTCGCAGTTTCCATTTGAAATCTCCTTTAGCTTTTACTTTTGTTTCACTTTTGTGGGAAAAAGTGCTGTGGGCTTTCAGAAAACCTTTCCATGAAGTCAGTTAACTATTATTAATTGCTGTAAATTATGGTTGGCAGCACCTCCGATTCAAGCATCCGTCCTAAACTGGAGTAAATAAATTACTTTGAGGCGGAGACAGCAAGTTACAGCTAGATCATTTATTATGCTTAATTACCCGGCTGAATACAGCTTCTTTGATCTGGTAAACTACTAATTATTTCTCCCTATAATGAGATGTTCCCTTTGCGCAGAACCTTTAGAATTCAAATCCAAACGAACCACAAAATGTTTAATCTCCAAATTAATATTTAGTTGCAGATTAACTTTTACTGGTCCGGTAAGTAAATTATAGCTTGCTCTTAACGGAATTTTCTTTGCCCACGTAATTAAATTACTGGTTTGGTTAAACGCACTTAGAGAAATATCTACAGTAGTTGATGAAAATATATTTATGAGGGTTATGTATTAATTCATATAAGATTGGGTAAAGTTTCCTGGCAGCTAGTATAATTTTATAGAGCAAATTATAATTCTAGGATTTCCTTAAACCTTTTAATTTTACTTTCTTCAGAGTGTAGTGTAGTCTCAACATAATTATAGTTTTTACCTTCCAACTTTTTACCTGAAGCTGCTTGTTCGACAGCCTTCTTATCATCAACGAAAAGCCCCCAGGACGTCATTACACCGCATTGCATGTGAATTATGGCCAAGATTGAATTTGAATATTGAAATATTTCCGTAACATGCTAAAGACTATGAAATGCTCATGTCTCGATCGCAGAAGTTGTCAGATGATATTAGTCAACGGCAGCCTAGAAACACTTTTCCGTGGCTAAGCATACTATATATGACCCACATTGGCCAACACATCCACCGTCAGCAGCTCATCATCTGCAGTAATCGTGTGTAGCGGCATAAAATCAGGCGAAGACAGAACGACCCATCATCGATACTCGACTCGTACTCTCGTTTGGATCGGCATACGTATACGCAGTGTTGGCTGGCATCGATATCGATGGCTTGATTCGATCCGTGCCAATGCAATGCGATGCTTCTAACCCAATTCACGGGCCATGTTAAGATTTCCAATATCTACATACACGGAAAAATAATACTAATCTGGCAAAAGGTTCGAGTTTTGATCATAAATCTAATAATTTTAGAAACATTCTTAAGTTTTGTTAATTCACGTGTTTTTTTTTTTGAGAATGAGAGTTCTTTGTGTTTCTTTCTGTGTACACAACTCTAAACATATATTTTGAGGGCAAGACTATTAAAAAGGTTTACCTGCCCACTGTGCTCTGACATTTGTCAGCAACCATTTGGCGTTGCTTTTTGGCCCCAAGTCAAGCCACCAATGTGGTGCGGTGGCTGAGCTCTAATGGTCCATGTTCCATCTCCGGCTCCATCTACATCTCCGTCTCCATCACATGTGACCCTAATTGCATTCAAAGAGAGCGTGCCAGCTTCGGGACACATCGGGTAAATGTATTATTGACTGGTGTTATTAATGCCCAACGAAAGCGCGTTTGACACCAACTTTCCGCACGCCAAAAATGAACATATGAACACTGTGTAGAAAAGTATAAAATATAAATCACTTTTTAATAAAAATATGTTGAATAGTATAAGGTACTTGAATAAAAATCAAGGTGGTGATAATGGTAGGTCTGTCTATCTAAGCAAGCTTATTAACTCAATATCAGACTAATTAATATTATTCAATCCCGTTCGATTTGAATAAATTTTGCGCGAGCACAGTGCTGTCAATAAGTCAGCACCCAGGCGTCTATATCTGGGGCTTTCGCGCCGCTAGATGAGTGATCGCACTGCACTTAGCAGCGCCTATAATTGCACCTGTCTGTGCTCGCACGTCGAAAATTAAAAGCAAACAATGGAAACGTTGGAGGTGGCCATACAATATCGCGCGGTTTTGCTATACTATACTATACTATATATAATAACGGAATCTGCAAACATTGCGGGATGTGAAATTCGAAAAGTGCAACGGAAAATTGCAGTGCGCATGCGCGGCAATCGCCGCTAAGTAATCCCCACCTTGCCACATACTTTTTCCATACCATTCCATCGACAGCACTTTCATTTTCACGCTCATCCAACGCGCAGCTCGCTCACAATGGTGCTTATTAATCATATAATTATGTCGGGTTGTGCTGGGGCCTGATTAATGCGAGGTGTAGAATTAAGTTAGTAAAACGTTGGCATTGTCTGCTGTCTGTTGATGTCTTTGTTCCCCTCCCCGCTGTCCCTTCCCTCATATCATTGCTTTTTATGGGTTTCACAAGGTTTAGGTCTTTTGGGTTCATAGCTCTCCGGAACATCGGACGCAGCGTGATACGGCTTAAAAATTTGATAGTGAAATGGGCAATCTTTATGGAGCATCGGGATTGGCCCTTCGGGAATGCAAAGTGAAAATTCTGGGAAATGCAACGCATGGGAAAAGTTTGAATTAGTTTGCCTAAAGAGCGGTTAAAAATGCGGAGACCGTAAAGTGCGAGTTGGTGGTAAAATAGATTTCTTGTTAACACTAAGGCCCTTTGCTGAAAAAGGTCAGCATTAATGATAATTTATTTGAGAAAATTCTAATATTGTGGGAAAAAATAATTAGCAAGATTTAAGTACCTTAAGTTACTGATAGCTAAATGAGTTCTTTTACCTTTCTAGGAGAAACATTTTCATTCTATAATTTGGATATTTGTGTTAAGTGGTTTTGTTTAAATTAAGTTATTAAACTATTTAGACAATCAAGAAAATGGCTAAATTTCGTCAATTTAAAAAGATTAAAATTCTAATGGTTACAAATATTTTTAGATCTCCAAATAAATTTTAGGCAAATATCATCTTAACTATCTACTTAAGATATTTAAATAATTTAATTTATTTCAGCGTAGCCACTTAAATGTTTAAAGAAAAGATGACATCTGCCAGCAATTAAGTATTTAAAGAGAAATTATGATGGGCCATTCACATAAATGTTTTTATTAGAAATTGACCTCAGTTGTAGCTTTGGAATTGCCTTGTTCGTCACATTTTAGTGAATCGAAGTCAAATCTCTTGAATCTACTCAGACTCTGGCAATGTTAATTGTGCAGCTTTCGGCGATTATCTTTGAATGGCTCTCACAGAGACCCATTAGGCTATAGGTATAGCCAAAGCTCGCTTTATAGAAATCCGACGAGCGAGGAAAGCAACAAAGCGGCCCAAATGAGTTTCATCGGACCGCAGATTTAATGGCCCAAACCCATTTAAGGTGGCTTACTACACTTTCGCCCTGCGCCCAATTCCGTTTATTTTCTTAGCTGCTTTTTTCGCAATTATTTCGAGAAAGAGTTAGAAATTGCAAGCAAATAAAAATTAGTAAGACCTGGCAAAATAAATAAATCAGGGAGAGAAGTGCGAGGTAGAAGCTCAAGTGGGCAGAGCAATTGTGTGGGAATCTGGAGCAGATTCAATGGGAAAATGACTTAATGCGATGTGGAGCGGAGTGGTGGGTAGGGTTCCAGGGTACATAACCACAAAATGGCACAAAGATCTCCCACAATTTGCACAACTCTCTAGTCCGGAGGCCTTGTATCCGCAGAGTCTCCATAATGGAGCGTCGGCAATAATATGCCGAAACTAACGGGTGTCGCATAAAAATTGGTATTAACTTAAGTACCCCCGCAGAATATCACTTCTAGTTCTTGACTCCCTGTTTCTTAGTCACTTTCCGCCTTCACAGCACTGAGAAAAACGTATTACCATGATAGTTTAAAAACCATATGCGAAAATTTGGTTATATATTAACACTATATATTAGCCTTTAGGAAAACTTTAATGGAAATAAATATTTAAAAATAAAATATTATCTATTCTTTTCTTAGTGCACACCTCCACTCTTTTTCCATATTTTCTGTTTTGCTTTGCCAACGGTAAATTGAAATACGCAGTTGATTAGCAGGGGGCGGGTCCAGAGAGGCGTGGCTAGTTAGTTTCTTCTGGCCGTGACCGTTGCCGTTGTCACTCAGAATGGCCCAAAACGCACGCTGGAATTGGCCGGGCCAGCTAATTTCAAAGGTAAGCGCGTCAAGAACAGTTATGAGCTCCGAGCCGAAATGGAATGGCCATTCTGTGGAATGGGAAATGAGTATTGGGATTGGGAATGGGATGGCCATGGCCATGGCCGAATGGGCCAAGATGGGTTGTGGTGGGCTGGGACCGATGGACCGCCTTGGGATCCCCCCAGCCACTTGCAGAAAACGAGACGAACACAAGAAAAAGAGACTTTAAAATGTGCTTAAAAATGCGCGATGGCTAAAAGCGAAGCGTTCTGAGTGAAAAAGACCCGGTATGAAACTGGTATTTAAACTGATGGCCTGAAGAACATCATCACAACGGTGCGATTTTCGCATTCCAACCTAGGATTAAAAAAAGAAAACAAACATTATATAATGGTTAGATTTATTTTAACAGTTAACCTTTTATTTGAGTGTTGATATTCATTTATTTTGGGTTACAAAACGCAACTTTCAACTTAGTTTCAAAACCAAATATGATAAAAAAAATAATTACAAATTTATGTATGCCTGCCCATAGCCCAATCTACCCAGGTTTATTGAGATTTAAAGGGTATTTACAGATAACTACAAAAAAGAGAGAAAATTACGCGTGCGACGCATTGCGACACCGAGAACGCTGTTTGGGATTGGGTTGGTTTGGGAATGGGCTGGTTACGGTTATAGGAGTTGTTGCAGATATTGCTGTTGCAGATGTTGCTGTTGCTGCTGTACTTGTACTTGGAGTGGTTGCGGCAACCGTTGCGCTTCAACTGCGTCCATGCATCAAGTTGGTTGCGAATTCTGCACGCCGCGGCGTCAGATACAAATACTAAACTTGATAGAGACATAACTTGCATGCAGCGATGCAGGAAATCAGCAGAAGGCCAACAACAGCAATGGCCAGAGCAGGTGCATATATCAAAGTGCACGAAACGAAATTTATATTTGATTCACCATGTATTGTATAATTTTGTTCTACTTGCTAAATGTTTATTTTTGATAACTTTTTATGTATATTTCAAAATTGAATATATAAACCACAAAACAACACCATATGTAATAAATATACTTTATAATATTTTCTCACAGTGCGGCACTATAAAAACCTAGCTTGTGTCTGCAGTTTGTGGTTATAGCCTAGGCCTTTGAATCTGGGCCTGGCACTTCCACTTGTTATTCTACTTTGGTTCTCCTGTGCGGTGCGTGAGGGGAATCTCGGCGGGAAATGGAAAAGAAAATTAACCAAACATCAGGTTTTTATTTACGCTAAATTATTTTCCAAGCATCTGTAGTTACACTTTATATAGTCACTGCATAATGGTTATAGTCATGCCAATTCACTGTGACTTTGTCGGACTTTCTGTCTTTCCCGAGTTAAAAGGGCATTTTGCCGGTGATGTCATCAAGAAATCACAAAGTTAAAGACTCGTTTCGGAAGAGTAGTTTCTGCACAAGCCCATAAACATTCCGAGTTTATTTGCCTGAACTCGTTTGAACTTGTGGGAGAAGTAAAAGATCCCAGGACTGTAAAAATACTGTTTTTTCTTCTCTTCCCAGGATTTGGGCTTTAATTGTTGGCGTTTATTGCTAAGATACTATGTAAGTACTAAGTAAGCTTACTAAAGTCCTATCACTTTATTAAAACTATAGATTTCTAAGAGTCCTAATTAAAAAGTAATCTAATATGTTTATGATATTCTAAATCTTCTATAGAATTATCAGTGCTTTTTGACCTTCGCTGCGGTATTTGGCTTTGAGATTATACTTTTGATAATATATTGTACTAAGGCTTTTGTAATCAATAAAAGGCCAACTAAAACAGCAGCAAATAAGACGTATAGATCCAGGTTATTCGCAGCTATAAAGTCCATATGAACCAAAGGACTTTGGAGATTAGGAGCTCCATGATGACGGATGACATACTCTGTCCAGTAGACTAGCGACTCTCGGGCACTTGTTGGACGATCTCGGTAAAGGGAAGAGAACTTGGCCACCTTTTGGCTGTATTGTGGGTTTGATAAGATCTCCTTGATGGCCTCTTCGAAGGGGTGCTCTTCTAGAGTCAGCAGGCTAAGTGTAAGTCCAAAACCATTCTTCACCATGGCAAACGCATTCCCGGGTTGATCTCCAAAAACTGGTAATGAAAGCATTGGTTTGCCGTGATACTGAGCTTCGGTGATGCCTCCCTTTCCAGCGTGATTTATGAAGAGCTTGATGTTTGGATGCGCCAAGATGTCATCCTGCGGCAGCCAACGGGAGTAGAGTATATTATCCGACTTTCCAGGTGTCTTCTCCAGATCCTCCCACTTCCAGATGACGCTCTGCTTCAGTTTTGAGAGGACATTGAACATCTTTTCCACTGTGTCAGGCTTGATGTGGCTTCCCTGGACATTAGAACCAAGACTGAGGAGAATAGCTCCATCAGTGGCATTGCCCAGAAACTCTTCTATGTTATGAGGAAGGGGATCCGGCTTATCTTTGATATGTATACCGCCAATTTCAATGGCAGCTGGGACATTAGGTCGTATGGATCCCTCACTGGCTGCATGGGAACAAAAGAACACCAGGGATGTATTCTTTAGAACTTCCGAGTACTCCGGCATATTGGGGTCGTCGGCAAAGAGCTCCCTAAGTAAAAATTCAGTGTAGACCTCTAAAGCGTTTTATACTTTCACTTACTTGTAATACTGACGATTGCGCTGGTCGATTTGCCGCTCAAATATCCCATAGACTAGACTGGTTATGTAGCTATCCAAGCGCTGGCCAAAAGACATATCCTTATTCTTATCCACAGGGTCATAGGGACTACCTATGAGGGAGTTTAGCATCTGGCTGGGTGGATTGGGAGCCAAAACGACGACGGGAGCATTCACTTTTCTGGCAAATCCAAGTTGGTAGTCATTCATGAAATAGCCAGAGATTACCAAATCAAATTGATTGCCCTTGTTCAAGTACAAGTCTTTAACTTGTTTGGCCTTCAGGGCATCTGCCATTTTCCTCAACATGGAGTCCATTTGACTTGACATGTTAAGAATAGATATTAGTCGACTTCCGCTATTATTCTTCTGTTTTGCTCCAATGGTATCGCTCCTTTGCTTAATTTCCTCCTTGGTCATTGGCACTTTAACTAGATGGATATTCTTGTGGGTCACCGTTGGCTCTAGAACAGTGACAACGGTCACATTGTGTCCCTGTTCGGCCAAAATCTTGGCTGCTGACATCGAAATGATCAGATGAGAAGGACTCAGACTAGGAAAGAGTCCTAGGATATTTGCACTTTGAGTTCCATAGATCAGGGAACTGACCGAAAGAATTAACACGAAAAAACAACTCGAATTTCGCACCATTTTTATAGATTCCCGGTTTTCTATAAACTGGCCGTGAAACCTGAACCCAAGGGGTTTTTATAACAATAGATGGCACATCAATTAAGGTACTCACTCGCTTGTGCTAGGTTGCGATAACCCAAAAGTCCATAAAAATATCATCCACAGTATTTCCTGAAACCTTTCGTTTTACACGTATTGATAACACTTGCATTATCGCTTTTGTATTTTCTTAATCTTCGACTTATAAAATAAACAGAATTCCCATATTTATCTTATCAACGCGTTGCTTGGGTGGTAATATGGTCATAAAAATACGTCATTTATAAAAATTTTTCAATGAAATGTTAAGTTATCTGTAGAAAAGGGAATCTAAAACAATAAAAGCACTTTCTTTAGTGCGTGATAAAATCATATTGTTTTGGCGTCGTGAGATCTTGACAAACTGCCAAAAAATTCATTTCAGAATGCCAAATCCATTAATCAAAGTTGGTCGGCAAACTGCGGCCAAAATAGTCTTTAACCTCTTAACCGCATAAATTTACCCATTTTGTGTGGCAAAGAATTCCCCAATTTGACACCGATTTCTAGCCCCTCTGACGGATGCTCCCCTGGAAAACCACACATAATTCATAATAATAATCATTAAAAAGTGCGACTGTCATTAGCCCAGAATCTGGGTTCGGAAACAAAACCGAAACCCCAACACAAAGTCCGTTGCTGATGATGGCTAAAAACAATGAGCCGCTTGTCGGTTGTTCCATTTTTGTGGTTCTGCCAGATCACGATTGCCCAAATGATAACCCAGATGTTGGCCTAGCTTTTTTGGGCCCAACGACGGGAGGGAAGACATTTGGGTGCAATTTGCCGGCAGAATGCAGATCTGGGGATCTGACACCAATCTCGGGTTCAGATCGCAAATAATTAGATGTAAACCGAAGAAGGAGGTGGAGACCCAGTAATTACCCCTAGAAAACGCTCCCCAGCTGCGTTTCAACGTTAATAATCTCGGCCAGAAAATACAACAACAACAACAAAAAACGAAGAAAAATGATCTCGATATTTGGCAAGAAATGGAAACTTTCTCGGGGCAGTTTTACTTTCGTCTTCGTCAGCTGCTCGCATTCTAATCCAAGACAGCGGCGGCTCATTAACTGGTTCGGCTGGCTTCTTGGCCAAGATCGTTGGCCTCATTATGCACAGGTCCACGACTCTACTCGACTCCCCGGTGATTCTCCATATGGTGAATGCACCACGTTATGCTCGGCCGCCATCTGTTGATCTCCACATCTAAAGATCTGAAGAGTGCGTTTGAAAAAGGGAAACGGAAGCCGAAGCCCAATCCCACAGATTTATGTGTGCCACATGCTAATCAACGTCAAAACGCCAGGCCCCACTGTGGGTGAAATTTGAAATTTGAGCAGCCGCCACCGGTGGTGCAGCTCCAGAGGCCCATTGAAATGGGTGAAGGTGAAGGCAAAGGCTTTGACTTGGACTTGGACTTGGTCGCTGGTTCTTTTCAGATACAACAATCACTTGAAGAAATTTTAGAAAATATTTATTAATTTGATCCTTTAATTTCAACATAAATGAAACTTATTTAGTATACATGTTAAAAATACCTTTAACGTACTGAAATGTGAAATTTTTCGGAAGACATGTGAGTAATTTTAGTTTCTTTAGTGAATATTTTTCCAGTGCAGTCTAGCTTGCAGATGAGAAAGTTTATTTATTTAGTATTTTGTTGTTTTCTATTTTGTTTCTTCGGCTTTTGCGCGCGCGATCTTAACGCTCACTTGGGTTTTGTGTTCTAATAATGCAAACAAAAGGCCAGACAAACCTTTTGTATCTGATGGCGATGATGATGAAAATCCCAACCTAATGGCTTTTCTATGCAAAAATCTTAGCTAGCCCCCAAGTCCAGGCACTTCAATCAGAAAGTTAAAAGAACGCCTTTCGCCGGAGTCGCATCGTGGGCACGTCTTGGGGTTTCGGTTTTTAGACTCGGACCTCGACTTGGTACTTGGTATTTGACTCAGTCGAGCTGGGAGTCTCCTCTCCATGTTGGGCAACCGGCAAACAATAACAAGACGACGAGCCCCCGACTGCAGTTTTATGTCTTTTGTCGGTTCTTATGTTTAATGTTTTATCTACCGGCTTCCGTTTGTGTCGGAGTACCCCTTGAAGACCAAGTGGAGAACTCTGTTTTTTCAGAACCTCGAAGAACGTGCGGCGTTGACAACACTTTGTGTGCCACTTTCATGCAAATCGCCGTCTGACGAGCCGACGTCTTAACATAATTTCGTAATTCTGTTTTACGACCAGAAGCGCAGACACATTCGACATTCGTACCCTTGATGGAATCTTTAAGAACCTATTTTCGAAATTATAGTCTGATGATGATGACAGTTGGATTTGGAACCTACATTTTGGCAAGCTTCTGGGGCGGAAGTGAGAACTTCGTGGAGGAGGTATTTCATATTGGGAATTGACCTATTGGCTGACTTTCATTTCCACGCCAACCGATGCTTGAGAAAACTATTCCCAAACGGAAATCAGTCTTGTCTATAAACGTTTCTTACCTGTTTATTAGTCAATAATCTTTGATTAATCTTTTAAATAATAACGCAGCGGGACTTAAGACAGTTTATGAGACCTAGTTTAGATTGTGGTTCGGGTGAGCTAATTCAGGTGAAAGTAAAAATGCCTCTTAAGTATGGGCCTACGAAATGAAAGATTTCATATTAAAGCACTCAAGTTAAATTATTATAAGAAAAAAGAAGCAAAGCTCCGATAGATTTATTTAGTTAGGTTGAGCTCCCTCTCAAATCCGTTCCAAGAGATAACCAAAAACTGTATTTAGTAGCTAAAAATATATATATTTTCCGGTCATAAATAATTTATACAAAAATCTTACATCTAGGAATCTACAGACTAATCTCGCTCTATGAGAAGTGCCTTTTGCCCGGTCGTCCTCCCTCGTAATCGCAGTTAAAGCTTGGCCAGTGTCAAAGTCGACTTAACTTATGTAAATCGGAGGATGCTGATCCCGCTGGTACCGTTGAGTGGGGAACCTTAGTTCCAGGAGTCGGGTTTTGAGGGGGCGTGGCTATGCGCAGTCATCTTCAGCTAAATGGAGTTCTCTTTCTTTCCTTTTATATTTTTTGACATTCAGCAAGACAAGTGGGCATAGATAGCTGGAAATCGGAGGACGAGGCGGAGCAGTCGGTGGTTATTGGAGAGAGGATGCACCTACAAGGTGCACTGGTACTGCTGCTGCTGCAGAGCACGCGGCAGCGTCTTGTGCGGCAGGTGGGCGGCCAAACAGGGAGAGGGGCTGCGGGGAGGCGAGCGGATCCGCTGGCGCTGCAGCAGAACGAGGCAAATGCTGATGATTATCACAGATAGCGAAACGGTTACCAGCACGCTGCTCAGATGGGAGCCAATATAGCGCAGTACAGCTGCACAGGAAGAAAAGAAGTACGCAAAGGGAAATATTTAAATATCAATATTTATAAATTTAATCAAAACCATCCTTACTTCTTAATAAATTAAATATAAAATAAATAGATTTTTAAAAATTATTTACAAATTTAAAGATAAAAAAAGCAAAAACTTTCTGTGTAAGTATATGGGCATTTAGGAATCACGATTGTCGCTGACAGGCCACTTACCTTCATCCTCGACGTTACCACCTGGTGGCGAGCCCACCTCTACCGGCATCCAGGAGTTGTGTGTCTGGTCCACAACCAGTTTGGCGTACTTTGTGCCCACCACTGGCTCTAAATGGTGTCCCTCCGCGGGCTCTTCCGCCAAGCTATTGACCTCGTTGAGGTTCAGAGCTCTACCCTGACCTCTGGGTTGAGAAGCCTGTTCAGTGGTGGGTGGCTGCGTTTGCTCCACCACCGCTGCCTGCTCCATGGACTCTGAATCGGATTCGGAATTGGACTTGGATTCCGGTTCCCTCAGCACCAGTTCCGTCTTGTTGACGTAGCGCATCTGACGGAGTTCCCTGCCCAAGCGCTGGTCATCATCGGGTTGGAAAGGATCGTTGGGCTCGTAGGCAGCAGCTACTCCGTTCTTTCCGGGTACAGTGAAGCTTGCACGCACAGTCTGCATTCCTGATTGATAGCTGCAGACCACCACAAAGCTGGGATGCAGAGAATAGGTTTTTGATAGTGTCCATATTACCATTTCAAATATGGCCTTTAAGTATATTTTAATTAATAGTAAATTACCGTCTTGTGCTGTGGGTAAAAATGCCAAGGTTTTCCTGGACCGTGATAAAAGTCTCCACCGTGTTGGTCTCAGGTTTCACCAAACTTCCGCACTCTTTATGATCGATCCTCATCGTGTACTTGTCCGCGGAATCACTAGCATCTCCCTTGATGCCGCAGTTTCCACCATCCACGACGATACGTCCTCCGAAATAAGGACCCGTTTCTACTTCGATTTCCGAGGCATGTGGCAAGCACTGGGTGGCATGCGCGGTGACTAAGAAATATTTAATAAATTTATATGATTGCCCGTTTCAAGATTCTTAAACAAAAACGCCATCATATTGTCTGCATTAGCGACAAAAAATTACTCTTAAAAAGGCCTTAAATATATCTTAAATATTTTTTAAGCCTCTAATCCACTTACAGCCTTTGGTGGGTATGACAATACTCTGGCCCGGCAGATGCCCAGCTCCACTCTCGATCTCATTCTCATCGTGGAATTCAGCTCGAGCATTGGAGCTGCGAGTTCCGCCCGCCTGGAGGCGCTTCTGGGCCGCTGGACGAATGTGAAAACTGTATTTGGTGGCCATTCGTAAGTTGTCCACAGCAGCGGCGAAGTGATGCACCTGAGAACTGCACTCGAAAAAATAGGTGCACTCAAAGTTAGTGAGAAAGAAAATCTAATCACTGCCTTTTACAATTTTTGGGCCAAACCCATAAATGGCGAAACAAGAACTTACCCTAAGGGATCGTGCTCGTCCTGCTGGTCCATCTCCTTATCCGTCTCCTCCTGGGGCACTTCGGCAGTGGTGCCATTCACCAATTTGACGCGACACCGCTGTGGGCCATAGTTCTGCATCTCACAGTAGAATATCTGGAATGCCAGGGCCCGGGGCGGTTCCACATCGCCGCTCATATTTGTCGCGTTCACCTGGCCCACTCTGGAGTTGAAGTTGGAGTTGGTATTGGGTCTCGAATCTGTGTCATGGGCCGACGGCACGAATTCAACTTCCCAGGTCAGATTCACCGATTTGTAATTTGGTTCACCGGCAACGCCGCGTATCTCTATCGAAGGTTACAAAAGCATGAGCATGGGCAGCAACGGGAAAACGGGGTTATAACCAAGATTCGTGGCAGTGGCAATGGCAATGGCAGTTGGTAGTTGGTAGTTGGTAGTCGGTAGTCGGAGTTGCAGTCGAGGTGCCTCTTGCATGCAAATCAGCTACCATGGTTACTTTACAACAAGACTATAAGTTCGGGGGCAAGGAACTCGTTTCCCGCCTGAGTTTCAGACACGCTTTTGGATTAGTTCTGTTGCATTCGGTCGATTTTTTTTTTTATGTTTTGTGGCCACCACTAAGTGGTTGTTCCCACTGGCAGATCTGCAGAAGAAGATCTGCAGTCTGCTAGCTGAATGAAGTGTGCTGCCAGTTGGAGTCCCCAGTTCTACTCGACTGCCACTCCATTGGCGAGTGATGGAGGATCTGGCTCAAAGTGTGACGTGAATTAGCCAAGGGGAGCTGGCATTTGAGACGGAATAAAAACTAGACCTGACTGTGATGATGATGATGATGCTGGGCGATTAATGGGATGGGGATAAAGGCAACTCAGGAACTTGGGCCTCAAGCAGGAGTGAGAAATGCCTTCAAGAGTTTCCGTTGAACTAGCTAAAATGTAGCATTAAATTCCAGCCTGCAATGATGGTGCACCTTCTAAATCGACTAGAAATTACACCTTACATTAAAAGTCAGCACTGCCGAATTAAGGAGAAGAAAATAATATATTTTCATCATTTATTTTAGACAATAAATGGCAAATGGAAAATTTTAAATATTAGTCTTTACTTTAATATTTTTCTATTTTGTTTTAAATTACCAAAAGAAGAAAACCTCCTTAAGCCCTTTACTTTCTTTAGTTAACTTGTGCTACTTAAAACGGTAGTAAATTTCTTTTACTTTAAATGCCTTTTCATTAACTTTTGCAGAATTATTAACTTAAAACCCATTACTTGAAGGAAATTGTAAATTCAATTTAATTTTTAAGAAATGAAGAATTATTTCTGTAGAATGAGTACGAAGGCTTCTACTTTCGGATAAATAAATCCCTAATCAATTACCCATTAATCACAGCGCCTTGTCTTAGTAAATTTCCAATTTTCCCCTACTCACTTAGCCCCGAGTTCCAGGAGATTTCCCAAGCCAGCCAGGCTTTGGTGACTTCTTCTGAGCCAGAACCTTGCATAATCTGCAATTAGAAATGCCATTTGCCGCAGCTCGCTTGTTTGTGTTTGGCCATGTTGCTGATGTTGCCAATGTTGCAGTGGTTGCAAGCTTCGTGTGTCTATCTTTTCCATGCTTTTCCCATGTTGAAATCATTGACACCGATTTTGTGGATGGCTGTGGATGGCGGCGGCAGCATTTTTAGGCGAATTTCGCACAGAGAACATGGAAAAGTGAAAATTCTGCGATGGCACAAATTCTGACATCGGGGCTACGGCTAGATTCCATTGCTGAGCCAAAAAAAAAATGATTAGAAAATGCCACGGAAAATGACAGACACTTCAATTGCAGCATCGCTGTGATTAATGGGATTTTTTGATCTTGGGAAGTTTGTAGATGACGGTGCATTAAATTTCGGATAGGCCATATTTTTTGTGAGCTGTCACTGTCACGGTGTTATGCAAGCCAGGAAGTGGAAGTGGCCAAGAGATCACACCAGCTGAAAGATTCATTAATTTTCCATTGACCATCGCCGCCGGGAAGTTCTGTAATAAAAGATCGGCCGACAAATTGCCTTCCAGCATCTGGCCAAGATCAATCTTGATCTGTCAACGATTTGTGAGGTAATTGCAGCGCTTTGACTAATTCGATTACAGAGAGAGAACGGCCGAAACATGTGTTTTGTGGCCAACAATTACTGGTCTAATGACACTTTTGCTCTCCATTGCTAATCTCTGGCCAATTTCCGCTTAGTGGTTCTGGGCGTGTCAGCCGCCCCCTTTTAGCGGCCAGAAGGAAATGTCGACACATTTCCCGCGTGCCCACATGATTGGCGCACAGTGCAGCAAAAAGCTGGCCGCCAGGGCAAGTTCGTTTTCTGAGTCTTTCGTTTGCCACCAAGGGCAGACGTAGGAAAATACCTCAAGGAACATAACTAGGTTCAGGGAAAAAAGCGCTCCGATCGTGACCAAATGCAATTAGCCAGCCTTCTACCAAATAGGGAAATCAACACTTGCAAAAAAATTGTTTTTTAGGCGATTGAAATAATTTTGAAATTTTAAGGTTTTGATTATAAATTTTTGAATTGTTAATGAGCAGATAATTTAAATTTTTATTGTCGTTAAATGTAAAAAACATTTTATTTTTTTTTTATTAATTGTTACTTTCCATTAAAGAACATTTGACCAATTTTGTTCTCTATCTGATTTCTTAAATTGTATTTCTATGCTAAATAAGGCATTTCTTTTTGACCATGCTTTTTCTTTCTGTGCACCTTGCATGCCAGCAACCACAGACTTTAAGTAGCTGCAACTCCAACTGGCCCTGCGACCGCCTGAAAATATATTCCTTGGCTCATTAGGACTCACCATATTTGCTACCAGCCTTGGCATTGGCATTGTTGCTGCTGGCAGATGTTGCTGTCGTCGCCGCTGTTCCTGTTGCTGTTGCATTGTTGCCGCTGTTCTTGGGCAAGCGAATTGGGGAGACGGACGGCAGCAACAGCAGCAGACACAGCAGCAACATGTTGCAGCTGCCGTGGCCTGCCATTGATTTCTTTGACATTATTTTCGGTTGATTTATTTAAGTTTGCTATTTGTTCTCATCAAATGTGTGTCAGTCGGGAGTTATTGGGCGGTTTGGTCGTGAGGGAAAATGCAAGTGTTGCCAAGGGGTCAACTAATGTTTTGTTTTTATTTTTTTTAAGCAATTTTTAAGATTTAAGAGTATTTGTTTTATTTTTCCGCACTATTTGGTAGCCAATATTTATGGTTCGCACAGAACAATTCTAGTTGATTGCCAAAATTCCACTATTGTCCACAAAATAAATCGCATTTGTCACAGCACAAAAAATCATAAATTGTCCAATTTGCCGCTTGAGAAGAGTCTCTAACAACGTTTTCCGATTTCCCGGCACACGAACCGCTCGCTTTAGCCTGAGCCGCAAAACTGAATCAGCGGTTCGGAGCGAGTCCAACATCTGGCCAATTCAGATCAGCTGTTGGCCATAACCGAAGCCGAAGTCGTGGCCAAACCACGAACCAATGCCAAGGCCGAAAATAAAAGCTTTCGCCGGAGCTTTTGGCTCTCTCGCTCTTTGTTTCTGTCATATGGGGAAAATGTGGAAAAGCCTTTTTCCTTATCAGTATTGGCTTATCAGTTGACAAACAGCTTGATGTTTTTGTTTTGTTTCGAAAAGGTTAAATTAAAAATCCATATATCGCAGGCCAAGCTTTTTCCATAATTAAGGCGGCCGTCCAGGTTTCATAAATTTTGATTTCATTCGAGATCATCACTTTCCCTTTTCTCCGGCGTCTTGCGGCCCATTGTCTTGTGGCTTTATTTTGTTTTCATTGTTGTTGGTCTCCCCAGCTGGCGGCTTTGATTAATGCTTAATCAGCAATATTATTGTTATTAGGTTTCTATAGCGGGCCAGGGCAGCATTTTCATAAATAATTTGCCAGTTGCTTTGTGCCGAGCGCAGTCAATTATGAACTTGAACATAAAGTTTCTCTGCCACAAAAGATGCGACAGAAAAAAATAAGAAGTGAAGTACGCAACGAGTGGCATAATGACTCTACATAATTAATTGTTGCCACTCGTTGCATAATCGAGGGTTTTTTGGTCTCTCTTGAGGTAAAATGTTCAAATATTTCAAATATTTTTTGTATGATTATTGGTTATTTTATTCCTTTAAAAAGACCTTAACGTCAAACATCATTTTGTTCTGAAAATATTATGGTCATTTGTTCTCGGGAAAGTCGAAACTTAACATGTTTATTAGAGGTAATTTACTGCTTATGGCTTAAGCATTTGCCCCTCGATAAGGTTAACCATTTTTTATGGCATAATTTCCATCACTTCCGCTTCGAAAAAAAGGTTTTAACCCAGTGACACGCATGGTAATTTCCTGTAATATATATAATACTCCTGTTCCCAGGCCACCCATTTACATGATAATTAGACAGGTTAATATATGCGAAGTGACATAAAGGTACTACGTCTATTTTTAGGACGTCAAGGCCAGGGTTCCGAGAACTATTATGGTCCTATGTATAAAGAGTCCTGGCCACCTGTAACGTCATGCTTCCCAAAAGAGGACACGAAAAGCCTATACCCGGAGTATACTTACCGGACATTAATAATGAAACGGAACGCCCCAAAAACCACTAGAATGCCTTGAATCCATCAAGAACCGGAATCCCCCGACATTCGTGCGCACTTGACAACACACATTCCACTAATTCTGTTAATTAAAAATTTAATGAGCCTCTCCGAACTAAAAATACCGTCGACACGAAGCTTTAACAATTGGAACACCTGTTGGCCATGTAAAATCCTTTGACGTGTTTCCCATGGGCAAAGGATTTTACCTAGCAACCCAAAAAGGGATTTTGGGGCACAAATTGAAATGTGTTCCCCATCAAATCCGTTAGTCTGCAACCGCCTGGGAAAAATGGCTAGTTGGCTATAAGGTATGCGAAGATCCAAAGCGTTTTTCCCCACACTTTCCTTTTCTATTCACTTTTTATCGTGTGCCTGAAAGTAGGCAACGAAAGTCGTTCCTGTGCGACGCATAATTGAGTGGCGGCCATCATTGTCGTCGCCACAGTAAACTGATTTGCATACCACCGCCACCAAGTCCGAGTACCGCTCTCGGTCTCGGTCTCATTCTGGCTTTAACTTGGCATTGGGCTCATGTCATTAGCAGACTTCTATTTGGCAGGACGGAAAGCACGGACGGGGGTTGAGAGAATGAAATTTACATGCCAACGCGTGACACACGCGGCGTATGCGCAACGCTTCTCGTAGCTGGAGCGACAAGTGCTGCCCTTTTGGCCTTATTCCGGTGAAATTTGCACTTCCTGAAAGGGAAATTCTATCCGGAAATCGTTTTTCTTGCTCCTTATCATTCTATTCATTTCACTGCGCAACAAAACATCTATTCTGAACTGTAATGTTAAAGTTAAAAATCAATATTTGCATTATAGATTAATGGAAAATGGTAGCCACAAACTTTTTGAGGCATGCCACTTATAAATTTGATTTTAATGAGCTCAGTTAGAGGTCACATTTCTTGAAGGACAATTTTATGGAAATTGATTGGGTCAAATGAAATGGAGAAAAAGTTTTTTATTCAGGTTTTTATACAGTTTATAAGTTTAACTTTGTTAAATTATAAGCCAATCTCAATAACAAGCTTAGCAAGAACAATTAAACCTGTCAATTTTCGAATCCCTCTCAATGCTGTGGTCATTTCTTTAATCTTTTTTGGCAGCACTATTGTCGCCAGAGTCCTGTCTTTTCGACGCCTGGTTTTCGGCCAACTGGCTGTTGGGCTGCGTTTGTTTGACTTCCCCGGCCATGTCCTGCTGGCCCGCTGCCTGGATTACATGTCTGGAGCACATCAAACAAGCTTACTTACCAATGACCTCGTTAATGACAAGCACACAGAGACTCACCCACAAACACACACAAGCCCACTCACACTCAAACGCATTAAACCCAAAAGGCAACTTTGTGTGCGTTCGCAATGCTGTTGAGTTTACTTTGTAATTTTCGCTTATCAGATTTATTTGTATTTTTATTTTCATTTTTGATTTTTTGTCAGCTGCCGCCCAATACGAGCAGGGGGCTTATTCGTTCTTTGATCAACTTGCGATTGCCCTATAAATTTAATTCTTAAATACGAAAAAAATTTCGTTCTGCCCAAATTTTTTTTCTGTTTTCTCTTAAAATATCTTTTATTTTTGTTTTTTTTTTATACTCCTCTTTTGGCGAAGTTCTCCTATGTATTTCAAAGGGAACTTAAGCACCCTTTTCCCTCAGGGTATTGGTGACATTACACCATCGCGGCACATTGCTGACGTAGTCCCCTCGGTTCTGGACTCTGGCACAGTTAAAGTAATTGCCTGGCCACTGTCGCAATAGCAATAAAAAAGCGCCTGATTGCCGCCGGCTTCCATCGCCTCTCCATTCCCAATCCACATCGGTATTTTAATGAACAGTCAGCTAATAACTCTGACAATATGTTTGCTCATGACGATTACCATTGACATCATGCAATACACCATTTGCCTTGCCCTTTTTGGTGGTAGTAAAACAAGTGCACATATGTATATGTATGTGTGGCATTTCGATACTGTATTTATCTCATCATCATCATATAACCATTAACACATGCTCTAGGTAATTACAGTATACTAAGTTTAGTTAACTATTAATTAATTGGTCGAGCTCTGCTGCTTTGTGTATGGTTTCCGGGTTTCTCTGCGTTTCTACAAAAGCAGCCCAAAAGTATGCTATTCAGCGTATACATTATATTTAAATAATACTTGTGTGTGTGTGTGTGTGTGTGGGGGTGGGGATGTGGATTTTGGGTGTGTAACATACATAGAGGTAACTACATATACATACATAACAAGGAGTATTTGTAAAAAAAAAAAGTAGATACAAAATTTGTGGAATCAACGCAAATCAAATTTACATATCAAAGGAATTTCTTTCGTTATATAACTTAACAGTGAACTACGTGCTAAAGGTGATCACTAGACTGGTGCTTTAAAGCGGCGAATATGTACCATTAGTTTCCATTAAAATTTTACCTTGAGTATTATAGATATGGCTGTGAAAGTCCTAAGTGGACTTTTAAATAAAATAATATAGGTATATTATTTAATTTTTGATCTTATGTGAATCTAATATAATTTATATTTTCCTTTTTAGCTCCGCAGAATATTCTTCATTTAATAAACCAAAAATATTTATAACCATAATTACTTTTGCCATACATTTCACATTAATTTTGAGCACCAGTCTAACGAGTTTGACTTGCTACAATTTTTGTTTCAGTGTGGGAGGAATTTCTTTTTGTTCGTCGAGACCGGCAGGAGAAGTTTGTTCACCCACCATCTGGGCCTCATTTTTGTTTAAGGTGTAAACTGGAATTTGCTTGCTATCAACTAAAACATTGACTAAACTTAATTGCACCTACAGCAGCCAAGTGGCTCCCCGTTTGTCATTTCCCCCTCGGTTAACGATCTTCTCCTAGCTGTGGCTCTTGCACAATCGCAGGAGCAAAGGATAATGAAGGTCCTCATCGTAAAGAGCCGAATCTGCCTTTAACTGGAGATGCCGCTGCCAGATGGTCTCGTTGTATCGAGTGGCCAACTCCACTCGGAAGCCCCTGGCCACACATTCGTCCTGGAAAACACTTAAAGTTCGTCCGCGGCGAGGTGCCATTATCAAGGCCGATCCCTCGGGTGCCAAATAGTACCAGATAGTGTCCACCAAGGCGGATCGAGCCTCGTCGAAGAACAGGCAGTCGGCACAAAGGATAAAGTCGAACTTGGCCTGCTCTGCCTGAGACCTGGCGCCTTTCTCCTGCCACTTCAGCACCGAGCATTTGGTATAGCAGCTCAGTTCATTGAGACAAACGGTTTTCCTCACATTCTCCACGGATATCTCATTGCCATCGGTTAGGTGCACGGCATAGGGAGTGGCATACTTGGCTAACATGAGTCCCGCCAGTGAGGTGAATCCTCCACCAAGTTCCAGGATCCATTTGCCTCTGTATGAAGCCACCTCCGAGAGAACCAAAGCGGTCAACGCCTCCTCCGAGGGCCAAACGCATATGTTGCCCGTATTATTAAAGCCCATCAAATCACTGGCGGTCAGCTGACGTTCCATGTGATGGATATTCACCGAGTACTCCGACTCATTCTCCAACTGCATGCGGTACTTATACCAGTTCTCGGTCTTTCCCAAGCACTTCAGACTCACATGATCCTCGAAACTGTCCTGGCGGAGCAGATCGAAGCTCTTGAAGCGGCGCACAGAGGCAGTTTGCTCTTCGGCAAACTCATCACTTGAAGAGGACACCGTTTCCTCCGAGTCCTTGCGCAGCACTTTGGCCAGAATCTTCCACCGCTTCTGGGCTGTGCTCTGCAGGTTGGGCGTAGCCGGCGGTGTTGGCGGCATAAAGGCGGTCTCACTACTCTTGAGACCCAGATCGAGTCCCACCACTTCCAGTTCGGTCTGCTCCGGCATATTCCGGTTGATGTCCTTGTCCTGGTTGTTGTTGATCACAGCGGGCAATTCGCCTCCCAATCGAGCGTCCAGCGTCATCTTCTTTTGCTCCTTAAGCGCATTCAGTGTGTTGTCTATGTCGTATTGCAAAAGCAACGATATGGTGGCCAGCTGTGCCACGCCCACTTCCGGTGACTGGTCGAGTTGAGTTTCCGTCGCCTTTTGTACTAACGCTGCTGACATCTTACTTCAGGCCCAGTTTGTTTCACTTTTCCTTTCGCTTCCACTTTTCAGTTTTCCATTTTCCGCCCTGCGCCAACTGTGGAAAAAAAGATAGAAAACAGAGTTACGAAATTAGTCGAAGTTTTCAAAAAGTTTTCCCCCATCATCTTTCGATTTTCCACTCTGCTTCGCGCCGCCCTCTTTCAGGCCCATTATTTTCCAATTATGAATTTTTAATGGCATTAAAAATGCAAATTATCCGACCATAAAAATAAAACAAATTATACATAGCAGAAAAATCCAAAGAAAAATCTGTCGGCAAGAAGTCTCTGAATATTTTTTCGTTGCTATATTTTTATGAGTAACATATTTTGTGGAGAGAACAAAGAATCGACTTGGCCTTACTGTGTTTCTTTCAATCAGCTTATATAAATATTTAATATTTTAATACACGAGTATGCTTTAAGAGATTTATGTTTTAATTTTCTTAGTAAAAACATTTTTACAATCAATTTAAGGGAGCATTGTTCTTGTTTTAAATTGTTTGCATTTTGTTGATAATAAAATCTGAGTTCATAAATCAGTGTTCGAATTAACCAGCCTCAACGAAAACAGAAACAGGCACAGAAAGCACAAGTATACCCCGTAAATTTCAGCTACCTTGGCCTTTATTATTTTGATTGTTGCACATTTCCACTCTGTATATTTTGAATTTCAGTCTGGACGTTTACGTATAAATTCATCAAATTTTAAGAAATTTTACAGCCCGTAAAAAAATTGTTAATTATGCTGACGTGAAAGCCCAGACAAAGGCAGATGGGAGGTTTTCCAGCAAAAAGGCCAACGCATTTTCCGTTTCCCACACTTCCCACAGACATATGGAGTCTAGCGATGATAAGAGAGGGCGTTCAGTTCCGATTAAAGGTCTGATTTTCCCGGACACCTGGCCATGTGGTGGTGGGTGGGCGATTTTCGCCTGACCAATGACACCTGCTTCGGCATTTCTGAACTTCGTAATCACTGGCTGACCAATGGAAATTCTAAAGAATTTATGTGTTTGTCTATTGGATTTATTGTGGGGGCAATGTTTAAGCATAAAGAGTCTGAGGTTAAAATCAAGAAAATAAACACAATTTGTATATACAGATCATTAGCACAATGGCCTAATTGCCTTAAATATGACAGATTGCTGCAGAGTTTGTTTTGTTACTTATGCATCCGATTATAATGGCTGATAATTATTATACATATCAAGAGATATTAATAATACGCACTGTTTGCAATGGCAGGCTTTGAGGCGGTTTTGGTATTTCAGTTTTGCCACCGCAAAATGCGTTAATAATTGCGTGTACAAACATTGACAGGTTGACAAGTTGATACGCAGCTTGCAGGTGGACAAATATTCGGCATAAATATTTTAATTTTAATCAAAATTGCGCTGTGCAGTGAGGCTTAAACGTATTTGTGTGCTCAAATCCCATTTAGATAGTGGTTTTAGAGTTTTTTCGCAATTATAAAGTATAATCAGAAAGCAGATTATGTAACCAATTATTACTTATTATTGTATATGCTGATTGTTGGACAAATTTATAATTAAAAAACTTACTTATCAGATCAAACTAATTAAAAAGAATCCTTATTGGCTTTTTTATAGAAAAAACCATTTAAGTACTAATCAAATAAAAAACACCAAAGATGAACATCAGTAAGAGCACAGCTGATTGCAAATAACAAAATCAAACAGAAATCGAAGCGAAGCTGAATTTACAACTAAAATTACCAACTCCCTGCCATTTCACTCAGTGCTCCCCATCAATTCCTTATCAAACATTAACCACTTTGAAGAAGTTCCTCTGAACTACCGCCTGAAACCTGATGGCTGGCCCAATAAAACTTTTCCGGGCTTAAAGAATGTTGATTTGCATTTGCCGAAAGAGAGAAGAACATGAATATTGAGCAGTTTCCTTTGGAGGACGTGTCCGTAAGCCCGCATCTTTGCCTATGGCCAAAGTTTTCCGCTAAAACTTCAAGCGAACTTTAAAGTCCGACAATAAAAACCGACAATGTTTACATAATGCCCGGGAAAATCCCTCCTCAACCTGGTTGGGAAAACTTGAGACATAGCTTGCCCAGCGATTAGCTTACCTTTTTTCGGGGATGGAACGGGGAAAAGCACTTTGCTGTTGTTCATTTGCAAGTACAATATCGACAACGGCGGTTTCTCCAATCATTGTAAATTTAAAGTTTTTTACTCTGGCAAATTTATCCAATCCAATTCAATTCAATCACTTGAGAAACTGGCAAAAAAGTTGCCAGAACAATGAGAGAAGAAAAGGTTTTTCACTTGCCATTTGGCGAGGGAAAAATGAAGGGAAAAGGTGGTGAAAAACTCGGAGAATTGTGGAGTAAGCGGAATGGCTGACGTGCGTGTTGGCAACGCAATGTGGCAGAAAGTTGCCAAAGGGGGTTCCCCCCATTTCCACGCCTGTTCTTCGCTTTTCTTATAGCATTTTCCCCACGAAATTTTCACCCACCTTGGCGGATCACGCAAGACTTTATAGGACATACAGTATATACTGTATATACCCACATCCATGTGATGAATGCCCGACGCTTGCCACGCTCATTGCTCGCATTAACTCCTATAATTTATTATTTATTGCAATCTACTGTCACCGAAATTTGCTCAGCTTTTCTTTTTATGTTCTTATGCGGTTCTTTTTTTATGATTATTATTCTTTCGACTCTGACCTTGGGTATACAGACAAACAAAGAGCCAACTGTGAAAAAGAGTTAAAAGATAACACAGTCAAATTTAATTATGAGCGACAGCCATCGGAGGGCTTTTAATATTCTCTGGTGATAAGAGCGGAATTTTAGCAGTTGCTAAGGCTTTACAACAAACCAAATTTGTTAATTATACTACTTTAAAAGAGATAAACGTAAATAATTACCATTTTTCTCTTTAAGTTTTCCGTTCAAAAATTTAAATCATGGATATGAGCCAATTTTTGTCTAGCCAAAACAGCTATTAACACGAATCATAAATGAAAACAGTTTCCACTCGGTTTAGTTCAACCATTAATCATCATCATTATTCCATACTGAACGCAGTAATTACCATCGGCAGACAGGGCGTATGCGTAATCATCAAAAACTTTCAAAACGCTTCCTCGTTTTCTCGGTCCATGCATGTACATATATTTTTCTCGAGCGTCTTAAACTTTTATTAGCGCACATAATCCCCACCGATTTACGAGCAACTAACTGTCTGAGCTATCTCTGCAGATATATGTATATGAATTTATCCATCCGATTTGTTTACTGTTTACTGTTTACAAGCGTAAGTTGATTTGGCCTGAGCTTTTTTTCGACGTTTTCTCAATTTTGACTGCAGGCCAATGCCAGCGCATCAGTCTACATATGTATGCATATATATATCCCTATGTAGAAGAGGTTGAGATTTAATTTACGCTCGCATCTGGTTTTATTGTCCATTTCCCTACCTTCCTTCCTTCATTCAATGCCCATTCCCATTCAGAATCCTCGAGCGGGTTCAAGTAAGTGCAAAAATGTAAATAAAAATCCAATTTTCTTCCGCCTTGCCGGTCGGCGGGTGTCCGAATAAAATATTAATTAAATTATTTGCATAGCACACGGCTGCGGCCTTCGGTTCAACCGACTTTCACCCCCTCTTGGTGTCCAAAAATATTTCCGGCTTGGCCGGAAGTGGCCGGGCCGAGTGTCGCCTCCCATTTTTTTTATTGCCTGTCACTCACTCACTTCTCCCGCTTTTCGGGGCTTGGCTAAAATAATATTTGTCGCCTGATGGCGGTGGATGAGGGTGTTCAGTGTTCAGTGAGTGGTAATGGCACTATGAGAATTGGGGAATTGGGAAATTTAAGGGGAAACTGGCTGTCGAGGTGAGCGAACCGCACTGGCAGCTCGTGACATTCATGGAAAGTTCAAGGGAATTCCCCGATCTGCTGCACTATACTGCACAAATAATGTGATTACGACGGACAATAATGACAGACTAACCACATTAAGTGAGTTGCCAGAATGTTGCCAGCACCGTAGAGTGACTGTTTTTCAGGGAATTTCGATTCAAGTGGTTTATTAATTCGATTTACGAGTCCTTTCATGGCTGGATGAGCAAAGCTTAAATTCACAAGTCAGGTAGTTCTTGTTTTTAAATACATTTTGATTAGCTGGCTATGGCTATATCCCAGCACATCTTCAAGTCCTGAGGAGATTTTCCGAATACGATTATATGAGGACATTTCCTCTAATATTCTAAGCATCTGGGATTGCCTTCCAAGCATTTTTGATATTTTTTTGGTTTTTAGCATTTACAAGATATTCGCAAATTGTGATAACAATTTAAGCCACGTACAGCTGGAAAATTTACATATTATGCCAGGACCGTATGCTAACTCCCTTCGAAACCCCTTCCTTCGCCATATGACAACGCAATATTCTTGTGTGCACATGCAAAAAGCGCAAATATGTAAAACATTTTGTAGAAATATCTGAAAGTCGCCAAGTTGCCAAATGGGAGGACAAACCTTGGGGAACTCGCTCTTTCCCAAAGGATAAAGCCAAACCAGCACCAGGGATCTGGCAAAAATTATATTATCTACTCGAGAAATTGACCCCACTGGGGGTCTACAACGCAGGGGTCACGTCAAAGTCCTTTCCCTTTTGTCTTTAGGAGTCTGGGTCATGGATAGAACATTTGCCAGCATCATTGCCAGGCTCTTAATCATCACGGCAAACGACAAACATTTTCGGCAGGCGCCACAATTTAAATATAACAGACCTAAAAGCCTTGATAACAAGACTTGTAGAAAAAAGGACAATCTTAATGGAGACCAAGGACACAGCACATCGTTAGTAGCTGACATTAACATAACAAATTCTGAAAAAGGAAACTAAATTTAGCTGTAGCTGCTCCAAAAAAAGAGGACACACACACATTCAAGCAATTAGGGAATAATATTTAATAAGGAAAGGCAGCAAATCATATTTAGCAAAGGCCCCCGAAAAGCTGGAAAATTAAATTCCGCCACCGCCTTGTTTCATTCACAAACAAAA